CGTGATGTAGGTTGTGTGCAGTGATCTTTATGCCATGGCCTTATTTATATGCAGCCATCATTACCCTAATGTAGGTTGTATGCAGTGATCATGTCATGGTCCTATTTATATGCAGCCATCATTACCGTGATGCAGGTTGTGTGCAGTGATTATGTCATGGTCTTATTTATATGCAGCCATCATTACTGTGATGCAGGTTGTGTGCAATGATCTGTGATACACAGTGTCACTGATGCACACATTAACCCTTCCTTGTATTCCTGCAGGAGACAGGGTTCTGGTTCATCTTCCACCATGTCCCCACCGGCCCCTCAGAGGGCATGTACTCACCTGGGCACACAGAGCACACCCCCCTGGGCCTCTTTGTCAATAATCGGGCCCACTCGAACTACAGGGTAAGTGTCGCTCCACTTCATTCAAACGCTTTTGGCTGTTTCTATCCATCCAAGCGAGATCTATGATCATATTTTAGTTTCTGACACAAGGAGGAGGTCACTTTAAGTGGAGGTGATGATTGCTTTGGATTTAAATATATCCTGCTGTTGCCTGGGGAGACATTTAACTGCTAACAACTTAAAAGTCAATATTAAAATTGTACTAAATAGATCTGTATGTTGGGTTACACGGCCTTTGGGTTCTGTTTTGCAGTGAAGCGTAAGATTGTCACCGAGCAGAAGAACATGAGCCTACCCATTAAAAAACCTGAATTAATATGGCTTTCCAGCAGGGGATGACGTTATGAATGGGCCAACAAGGTGTTTTCAGCTAAACCCTAATCATTTTGTTGCTTGGGCCCTCAAAGCAGTTACCTTCTTGAATTTAGCTGCACTTGATGCCTTCTGTTAATCCTGTGCTTGCTCTGTGACCTGCCCGTCTTGCCACTCGCGAGAGGATTCTTCCATTGCTCTTGGTATGACATTTTGTTTCCCGTGGGCTCGTCTGTCGCCCTTCTCCAGGCTGGAATGATTCTCGACAATGGGGTGAAAACCACTGAGGCCAGTGTCAAAGACAAACGGCCGTTTCTTTCCCTCATAGGGGCCAGGTGAGCGTTTTCTTCGCCTTCCTTGTCTTCATTTCCCCTTCGTAAAAGACCAATCTCTTGAGATGCTACCCACAAAACTGGTTTGGATGCCCCCCTGACGAATAGGTACAGCCCTCACTTGGACGCTGATCCCTTCAAGCCCAGGGTCCCGGCCCAGATCCACCATTTTGTGGCCTACAAGAATCAGGACCACGGAGCTTGGCTGCGGGGCGGGGATGTTTGGCTGGACGACTGCCAGTGAGTTGAGCACCGTGGGACTTTGGTTAAGCTCACCATTGTAAACTTATGGCATTGACTTTAATGATATGGTCTTCCTTTTTCAAGGTTTGCTGACAATGGAATTGGCCTGACACTCGCGAGGTAAGAGTGAGGTAAGCCTACAGCACCCCAAGGTTGGCCACCATGGCGTATGTGATCATTTGCTTTCCTTGTTTGCAGTGGAGGGACTTTCCCCGATGACGACGGGTCGAGACAGGAGGTGAAGAACTCCCTGTTTGTGGGGGAGAGCGAGAACAGGGGCATGCCTGACCTAGACACTCACATCTGGGGTCCTGGTGGAGCAGACCTGAATGACAGGACCGTACCCAAAGGAGTGTGAGTGCCTAGGCTCGACAGAGCAACGGGGGCGTGGCGGTTAAGGAACCAAATTAGTAACAAGTAACAAACTCCACTGTATCTGGCTTGTAGTGACTTCCCCATCCGAGGCATGCAGATCTACGACGGGCCGATAAACGTGCAGAATTGCACCTTCCGGAAGTACGTGGCCCTGGATGGGCGCCACACCAGCGCCTTGGGCTTCCGGCTGAACAACTCCTGGCAGAGCTGCCCCAACAACAACGTGACCGACATCACGTTCGACAACGTGCCGGTATGGAACACGGGGTTTATGGGGGACGCTTGCAGCGCGAAGCGCGAAGCGTGCACATGTACCCAGCATTTCCAATAAAACAGAACCCTATGCTGGTTGAAACTGGCTGAAACATATGAAAAGGTCATTTAATAATAAAAGTACTGTAATAAAAATGGTATTATTGCACACTGAATAGAATGCATTGGAATATAGTGTATTATGAAGTTAATTAGCAGTCTTGCTCTCAGTGTGTGTGGGCCGGCAGTTAATAATACATTTTATGTTGAAAAAGTCCAAAGCCACAAAGGGTGGTCTGGAAAAGCTGACTTAAAGCACACACTCTCAGAAGCGATTCTACGATTTATTACAGTGCTGACCACTGGGGAGGCCATAATTCATTCACAGGGGTCAGGATCATTATTAGCCAATGATATGTTTTGACTTGGTGACTGACAGGGGAGGGGATACCCTGGGGGCCAGTCAGCTCTCAGCTGGGGCCAGTGTTCCAGAGGCCTCATCCCTGTGTATCCTTCCAAAGACACGTCAGGGGCCCCCCATTGCACCTAGGCAGGACACCTCCTGACTGCTGCCTGTCAGTCACCCGCTGCTGTAACCCGTCAGATCACCTCGCGGGTCTTCTTCGGAGAGCCGGGTCCCTGGTTCAACAAGATGCAGATGGACGGCGACAAGACCACCATCTTTCATGACGTGGACGGCTCGGTCAGCGAGTACCCGGGTGCCTTCCTGGTGAAGGAGGACAACTGGCTGCTGCGTCACCCGGACTGCATCGAGGTCCGAGACTGGCGGGCGGCCATTTGCAGTGGTCACTTTGCCCAGGTAAGGTAGAGCGGTGTTTCTCGCGCCCTCAGACATCCCACATTTTTGCTCGGGACTATCTGGGGGTCCCCGAGGGCCGGGCTGAGAAAGAGTGAGGTAGACAGTCTCATCTAACCCCTCACCCCACTTCCATCGTCTAACCCGCCCCCCTGCACTGCCCCCAGCTTTATGTTCAGACGCGCGACCCAGCCAGCTTGAGCATGACGATGGTGAAGGACGAATACCCCGAGCGGCCTCTGGTGCTGCAGGGAGCTCTGGGGAAGAGGAGCCACTACCAGCAGTTTCAGCCAGTGGTGATGCTGGCCAAGAGCTACACGGTGCACTGGGACCGGGCCGCACCAGCAGAGGTCACCGTGTGGCTCATTAACTTCAACAGGTGCGTCCGTGTCCGGCGTCCAGAGCCAGAGAAAACAGGTGGCCTGTTAGAGCGGCAGTGCAGCTTTAATGTTATTGAGGAGTTATACTCAGCTCTGTGATCATGGGAGCGGCGTGGCGGCCTGGCGGCGTGGCGGCGTGGCGGCGTGGCGGCGTGGCCGTTAGCACCGGTACCTCTCAGCCCTGCTTCCGTCCCGGTTTTGTTGTAATGTGTGTGTGGAGTTTGCATGTTCTCCCCGTGTCCTTGTGGGGTTCCCTGCGGGTTCCCTGTGGGTTCTCTGCAGGTTCCCTGCGGGTTGCCTGGTTTCCCACCACAGTCCAAAGACATGCTGAGGTGAATCAGAGTTGCTAAATTGTCCTGTGAATGCGTGTATGAATGATGTGTGAGTGTTAGCCCTACGATGGATTGGTGCCCCATCCTGGCATATTCCCTGCCTTGCACCTGTAGTTTCTGGGATAGGCATTGGATCCCGCATAGGACAAACGGGTACAGAAAATGATGGATGGATGGATGGATGATAAACTACATTTAGTCCTCTTTTACTTACTCTGGCGCCATCTTCTGGTTACTCTAGAGAGCACAGAGTGAGTTATTCTGTGCACCTCTAAGCTTCTGTCACTGTTATTGTTCTCAAACAGAAATGACTGGATCACCTTGGGCTTCTGCTACCCCAAAGGAACAGACTTCACCATCATTTCAGATATTCACAACCGCCTCACCAAACAGACCCGCAAGACTGGAGTCTTTCTCCGGACCCTTCAGAGGGAGAAGATGCAGCATTCACAGCAGACCCGGGGTTACTACTACTGGGAGGAGGACACTGGGTAGGAATACTGCCCCTAAGTGGTGAATGCAGTGAATGGTTCAAGTTATCAAGTTACCTTCTGACTGGATAGGGGCTTTAGGGTGTCTCAGGGGCAGTGGTGAGGAGGAACTAGTGAGCTACTATCCAGTAGGTTTTCTAACCTTCCTGGCTTCTGATGAGCCACACCTGCTCCTGGTATTTACCTGAGAACTAGTGTGGCTCATCAGAAGCCGGGTAGGATAGAAAACCTACTGGACGGTAGCTCTCCAGGACCGGAGTTGGAGACCCCTGTCTTAGACATACTGTAATAATCATACTATATTGTTCATATTTTTTGATTGTTTATGTTAGCCAGCCTTGTGTCCCATGCTGCCTGAGATGTTCCCAGCCTCTCTGGGACTTTGACCAGGATAAGCCATTAGTATCTGGACGGATGGATTTTGCTTTTTTAGCAAATGTATAAAATTCACCAGCTCACAGTCTGCACCATCACAAGTTCTACCAATGTTTTTCCAAAGTTCAGAAGAACAGGGTATTTTAGGGAATGATTGAAAATCTGATACCCACCAAATTATGTGGAGGGATATTCCTGTGCTCTAGTCTCAGACAGTGTTTTCCAACCCAGTTCTCAGGGACCCACAGTCAGTCCATGTTTTTGCTCCCTCCAATGTAGACCATGTAGACCATCTGTGGGTCCCTGAGGACTGGATTGGGAAAGAAACTGGGGAAAGCAGTGATTTCTGTAACAGACAGCGCTTGGGGACATGGCACTGGGCACATGGCGGGCCGCGTCGCTTCAGGAAGGACCCTTCACTGCAGATTTCCCGCCGCCTGTGGCCTGTTTCTGACTCTCCTGTCTGGACTGTCTCTCTCTCCCCAAAGGCTCCTTTTCCTGAAGGTCCAAGCCCACAAGGAGCGGGAAGATTTCGCATTCTGCTCTGTGAAAGGCTGCGAGAGGATCAAGATCAAGGCCATCATTCCGAAGGGCAGCGGGCCCAGCGACTGCAGGGCAGCAGCCTACCCCAGACATGCTCAACTGCCCATCGTGGATGTCCCAATGCCCAAGAAGCTGCCTGCCAGCCAGCTGGTAGGGGGGAGATAACACCACCAAGCCCCACTGTCCAATCAGAGGGGCCCAGCAGGGTCAGATAACTCCCAGTGTTGGAAACCAGTGAAATAATACTGACTGGAGGGGGTTAGAAAGAGCAAATAGCAAAGTCCCCATCCCAGTACGCGTAGTTCTGCTATGATGCGAATTTCCAAAATGTACATTGGCTTATTGATTATTGAGAAATAGGGGAAAGACACCTGAAAGATAAACGTAAATCTCACTTTGTGATTTTATTCCTGATAAATGTATGCTATGCTAGCTGCAGGTGCTGATCCACACAGGATTACATTCCATTCTCAGTTAGCTAAGTCAGCCCACATGCTGCGTTTTGGAAGTCCTAATTTTCACCAAATCTACTCCATTGCGTTACCAAATTGCCTGTAGGTGTGCATGTGTGTGTGTGATTGGTGTGTGTGTGTGTGTGTGATTGGTGTGTGTGTGTGTGTGTGTGTGTATGTGCCCTGCGATGGGTTGGCGTCCCATCCAGGGTTATTCCCCACCTTTTATCCGTACCCTGTGACCCCGAAAAGGACAAGCAGTTACGGAAAATGGATGGATAGATCTGCTCCATTGTTGGGAATAAATGATGTTAAAAATATGCAAATAAATAATGTCAAAATTATTACTTTTGGTAAAGATACACATTTGTTAAAGATATACATTGCATAACGGTGCAAGGTTTTATGGGGGGGGGGGGGGGGTGTTTCAGCAGAAATGTGTATCGATATAAATTCATGACTTTCATGTTTTGATGAGTCTGTAAAAACCAATGTAAATATATAAGGGTGTGAATTCAGATGTTCAGATGTTTGGCTGCTTGGCTGTTTCTTCTGAGGAATGATGAACACAGGGGAACACTGACCTGTCCCTTTGCTGGCTGCCCACAGCAGGACTCGGAGCACTTCCTGGAGGTCAAGCTGAAGTCCTTCAAGACCCGCTTCTTCCACATCAAGGAGGACTTCACCTACATTGAGGTTGGGGGGGCTGGGGGGCGAGAGGGACAGACACTTAACCTCAGTGTGATCGGCTTCTTGTTCGTCACCATTCCGCCTTTGTTGCGGCAGGTCAGTGGAAGGAAGATGTACCAGGCAGAAAATGGGATTCGTCTAGTCGTGGTGGACGGCCATCGTGGCAAAGTGTTGGACAGCAAGAGCTTCAGCAGCTACCTGCTGCAGGGCGTGCCAGCACAGATCGAGCGCTACGTCGGCAGCCTCCAGAACGGGTAAGATCACTTGGTAACACTTTACTAAAGGCCATGTTTTTAGTAATTTATAAATAGATTCATATTGCATTGTAGTGCATTCATAAAGAAGGTATCTATACTGCAGGGGTCTCCAACTCCGGTCCTGGAGAGCTACTGTCCAGTAGGTTTTCTATCCTACCTGGCTTCTGATGAGCCACACTAGTTCTCAGGTAAATACCAGGGCCAATCAGAAGGCTCATCAGAAGCCAGGTAGGATAGAAAACCTACTGGATAGTAGCTCTCCAGGACCGGAGTTGGAGACCCCTGATATAGCGCATTATAGATGAGAATTTCATAAAGCATCCAAAATGCATGATACACACAGCTGTAATGTGTTATGCCTTTTTATGTTTATAGCCATGATTATAATGCTTAGTTTTTTTTAGAATGCACTATTTTTTTGTAAAATAGTACAAAAAATAATTAATTTATAAATTACTAAAAACACAGCCTTCAGTAAAGTGTTACTAATCACTTTTTATGGCCCCAGATTTTGTTCTTTCCATCCCTGTTTTTGTAAAACGCTCGTTGGCTCCTTTTATCAGTCCTGCGATTCTGACTGGCACCTTCACGCCTGCAGGTCGATAGTGCTGGTCAGCTCTAAAGGACAGCGCGTTACCCGCGGACGCTGGACCAAGGTGCTCGAGGATCTCGGAGCAGACAGGAACGTCAGACTGAAAGGTAAACTCTGTCACAGAGACGAAAAACAGCCTTCCCTCTCCATCCCCGTGATTCTCTTATAATTCTGATTAAATGCCAAAGTCGACTGCAGCTCATTAATAGAATAGACATTTGAAAAATAAACATTTTATACCCTAGATGTTTGTGTGCCATTTCTGAAATGACTATCTGTGTGATTCACCATGCAGAAATAAAGCTTTAATCGGACCAAAAAAATTTAAATTACGCAACCTTAGTGACGCTAATGGTTGCAAAACATCCTGGGGTTGTTCAAGGGCAGGACAGAAAGTTCATCCCACTGTGGAAAGTTCCGACTGAAGCAGTATCTTGTTTACAATTATGGGATGTGTTAGCTGCCATAGAATGGCCCCATTCAGGCAGGGCAGCCTGTGATGTACTCTGTCCTCGGCCCTTTCAGAGAAACTGACGTTTGTGGGCTTCAAGGGCGATTTCCAGCCTGACTGGGTGAGGCTGGTGACAGACGAGGACGAGGCTGAGATCCATCAGGTGCTGCCCATTCCAGTGGTGAGGAAGAGGAGGTTATGAGGCCTGAGCCAGGAGGAGGATGCACCTCCACGGTCGCCGCTGTCCAAGTGCACAATGCGAGAAGTGAGGACTGTAAGAGGCCTGCGGGCAGGACATCCTCAGGCCAGAGAGCTCACAGGGGTGACTTCCCAGATAGGAGCCATGTTTGTACCAAGTGTGGATGTGAATGGTATTCATTAGGAAAACATTCCCTGTTTTTGTCTCAGTGATGTCTTCTGTCCCCAGTTCCAGTGGAGAGTTCCCTTATACTGTTAAAGGTTTCATGCTTTTAATATGTAATATGTGGTGTTTTTTTTCCCCAGGATTCTCGAAGTGTGATTCTTTTGTAAATGTTATAAACCAGCAAACATGAAATGGAGGCTTCAGGGTGATCTTAACCGGGAAACGGAATTTGTACAGATGGCTTCCCTTCGAAAGGACAGCATTGAGGGGGCACCTTGGTCAGAATACGAGAAGTGATGTTCCCAGTTTCACAGGAATTGCCATTCCGGCCACCTCTTGCCGAAATAGCTGGCCTTTTTTCGGAAATTGACCTCAAAGTCAGTGTTTTGTACGTTTTTGTGTTTCAAAAACACTTCAGAATATATATCAGAAAATAACTTTTATACTTATTTATTGTACAGACACAAGCCTGTAACTGCTCACTGGGAACATTCTTTAACCTGTAAAGTTTACCGAGGGCGTGCCATCTGAAAATCAATAGAGCTTAATTCCTAAGACACATTAACGGAGAGGAATTAGTGTGAAATGCAACACGCATAAACATCAAGTTGTATATCAGATTTGTGGGTTTTTGTTTAAAAAGAAACCACGTAATGTGTATTTAGTAATGTGAATAAAGTGTTTGAGAACAAATCTGTATCTATGTCCCACCCTGTCTAAATGTGAACCTGGGGGATCGACTGGTGCTCTAAACATCATGTCTTTGTACATTGCATTCCCTTAAATTTAACTGTAATCTAGTAGGATGATCAGAAACCATAAGACTTGACCATTCTTGACCTTTCGTTTGACGATGACTAAAGTCAGTGGGTTGGCGGACCACAATCAACCGAACCATGTCAGTGTGGTTTCTGTTCAGAGCGCAAATGTACAAATGACTTTGCTCAAATAAATTCTTTTTAAAATGATGCTCCTTTTACTCTCCTTGAAAAAGCAAAAGGCTTTCGCATCAACAGCTTTTTATTTATTTATTTATTTTTAAAAAGTCTTTATTTCAAAACTGTACCATGTAGCCCAGCTGCCAAAGTTGAAAACATTCAGGATGCAGAGATGGATACAGTCATGACAGATTCTCAGACCAATCGCTTCACATATACAAACTGATGTTAGACCGACACCACAGGAAGGTAAACTGAAATGTGAATTCAGATCCTCTTCAGTTTCCATAAACGTGTGACGTACTTACGTAGTGGAAAGTTTCTGTTCTAGGTTATGAAAAAAAACTGAAACAAAAGCTTATACAAGTACAGGAAATCAAGCAAAAAGCTGAACTTGATCTAGACCGCAGCAACACTGGTGAGTCATTCAAGTATGGAAGGTGGTGAACTTTGCAACGTTTACAGCACTCTCGGATGTTTGTAAGCGTTAGCTTCACACTATCCCAGAATTCCTCTGAATGGTCAATCACAGCGGTGTCAGAGCTCCTCTCTCTGTTTGTTGGCCTTATTGCTCTCTTTGTTCCCCGTCTTCTCCTTGTTTTTGCTCTTGCTTTTCGGTTTAATATCATTGCTAGCCTTCGCCTTGTCTTCTTTCTTCGCTGCCTTCCCAGGGTACACCTGACCCTCCACGGTCACATCTGCGCAGCGATCCTGCGCCACCAGGAAGTCCTTCACCTCCCAAGCATAACCTCCATCACGTAGCATGAAGATGACTCTGTTAGAACCCACCACAAACCTGGGGGGAAACACAAGATCACTCACTGACTGAATCAACACTTCATTACATGTTCACTGCAGCTTATTAGAACGGAAGGCCATGAACATTTATGGCATGTTGCCAATACAATTTAATAAACTTGAAAATATTTAATAAAGCATGGGGGGGGGGGGCAGCGTGTGGCTAAGCCTCTGTCCCTGTGATCAGTAGCCTGGTCAAGGCCCTTAACCCCCAGCTCCCTGGGTGCTGCTGTGGGTGGCTGCCCTTCACAGTCAGCTTCTTCTCACCTACAGAGAGCAACCTGAGTGCAACTCTGTAAAGAGAATTTCACCATGGGGATCATTAAAAAAAAATACATATTCAAAATGTAGTTATATTTTGTTCTAAACTAGAAATTTAACCTACAAAAAAATAAGGGGTGAGGAAGAAGGCTTAGCAGCCTATGCTCATTACTGTACTTGGTGTCAGCAGTGAGACCACCTGCTGTTCAGACCAGCTAATCCATCTGAAGCTAAGCAGGTTTGGGCCTGGCCGGTACTTGGATGGGAGACCAACTAGGAAAGTTGGGTTGCTGCTGGGAGAAGTGTTGGTGTGGCCAGTAGGGGGAGCCCATCCTGTGGTTGGTGTGGATCCCAGTGCAGTGAGGGGGATGCTATGCTGTAAAAATGGTGCGGCACTAGGGATGGAATGTAAAACTGTCTGAGGTCATAAAAGATCCCTGGGCATCTTCCAAAGTAGTAGGGGTGACACCCTGATATCCTGGCTAAAATTGCCCACTGTGGCCCCGTCAAATCTGGCCTCCTAATCACCTCATCCAGGTGGGGGCTACACAGTGGTGGTTGTAGAGGCTCCCCATTGCTTCTGTAAAGTATGTTGAAATAAAAAATTTAACGTGCTATAAATATAACATTAATTCTAGCCACCTTTTTGCATACCCCCTAAAAAGCAGCATCTCATCACTCGACAGAGAGCAGGGTTCTGTCATACCTCTGAATATCGAAGTTGGCATTGAAAAGGCTGCCCTGCCAGAGACTTGAAATTTCTTCAGTCTCCTTCTCGGTGGGGTCTCCAGATATGGTAGCAAACACCATCAATGTCTTTCCTTTCTTGCTCATTTTAAGGAGCTCCTCAGGCTTTGAAGCGTCAATTTTTGAGAAATCAATTGTTGGGGGCTGTCTTTTGTGCTCTGGAAGGTCCCCCTCTTCGATGTCATCATCTTTCTGCAGACCGTGCAACACAGAGAAAGCATTTTAAAGACAAACGGGATTTACAATACATATGGAATAAGGGGGAAAAAAACTATACCGACTTAACTTCGGTTCGGAGGAGGTTAGCGAACAGAAAAAAACAAACATAAAAACATTCAGAAGGAAAATCAAGCTTTATATACTAAAGTGTTAAAGCCTTAAAATTTTCAACAAACATCTCACAAATTAGAAGGTGAATGTGATTAAGAAATTCAGATAACGGTTGTCCGTGACATAGACAAGCCAACAAAAGAGAGGTTTCACTCCATCTTTGGCTTATGCAGTTCAGAACAAGGTAGCAATGCGAAATCTCCAACACGTATCTATCAACATTTCATTGTCAGTAGTACCGACGTACTATGTCAAGCACACTGTAAACGTAACCAAACTAAAGGAAATAAATGGAAATTGGAAAATCATTAAATATATATTTGACACAGATACAAAATGTGCAATTTAAGCCGCAAGCGACAAACTGCAAAGATCCTAGCTTGCAGAAACAAGACAGAAAATTTACCTCCCATTCCTCCAAGAGTCTGGCCATATCCGCGTCATTGTAGTCGCGGATATCTTTCTTCTTTTTAGGCTTTTTACTTTTATCATTCTCAAGTGCTAGAACACAAATTAAAGTAAAACACAGCAGCACACAAAAACACCTCCATAAGGAAGCCGCCATCTTTTCCAGCTGTACGGCGCTGATTGGCTGATCGGCTTTTCCGCGTCAGTTCACGTGGGGCGTGTCTCGGGGGCGCTTGTGCCTCCGCACCGTCTCAGATGAGATACAGACGGACTTAGGTCACCATGCTCCAAAGACGGAGAATATAGCAGTCTTTTGCATTTGTGTCTCTGCACCGAAGGATAAAACTATTACAACAGACTTTAGCTTAAAGAAATTAACTTTTAAAATGTGATATATAAATATATTAAAATGATTTTGATAAAATTCTAGATGCCAGAGACAGCAGGTTCACTACCAGCACCTGGCTCTCTCTCTCTCTCTCTCTCTCTCTCTGTGGATGGGATGTATAAGTTCACTCTACCTGTGCGAGGGTTTCCTTCCACAGTCAAAGGAAACGCACATGCTGACACCCTAGGAGATGCACACGGCTCACTGTACCCTGTGCCTCAATGAACCGGCAATGAGAATGAATGGATAGCCTAGAATCCACATGGCTCATGCTATTATACTGCACTGACCCTGCTGAGCTCAGCTGCTGTTACTGTATGTGTTGGGGGGTTTCCTGCCTCTCCCTGGAATGTCTGGGGGGGCCGGATGCTGGGCATTCTTTTGGTTGGCGTAGGAGTAGGGGCTGTGGGGGGCGATTAAACTATGACCCTTAACAAGAAATTTTGCTAATGTTCACTTCTCTTTTCACAGTCCTTTCATTTATGCTTCCGGGAGTCTTGCGTCCCATCGCCACGCTGCTACAATCACCTGTCCTTCCAGTTGTAACTTGCTTTTTCTCTCCTGGATGATCTCCGTAAAACACCAAGGATGGAAAAGTGAACCAATAACCTGAGAAAACCTAAATAACCTAAAAGGAGTCAGAGCCTTACTTCCTCTCCATTGGGCTGATATTCAAAACATCAGAACAACAACGCTAAATTTCGCAAAGCACCATGCCGGCGGAGTCACTGGATGCTCCTGCAGCACGTGAACTGGACCGATACGGCATGGCACTGCCCTGATACGGCATGGCACTGCATGGTACGCTGATCCCCCATTTACATGTGAGTCTCATCATCTGTGACTCGTTTGCACGCCCAGGGAGCAGCGTCGCGAGCGGCCCGCTCAACAGAAGCAGCGTGGCTTCCTTACAGGAGCCTCCACCCACAGGCCCGGTGCTTTCTACAGCTGTGCAGCTCGGCACGGAAGTCTGACTCTCACGGTCGCTGCCAAAGGCTTTTGTGGACAAACATTACAGTACCTCACGGTGCAGCCACTGGCCTGTCTGGTTTGCCAGCAGCATGTTTCTTTCTCCTGCCCATCATACTTGTGGATATATATGTACCCTTGCCATGTTCCTTTGCTGGTTATTGTTGAGGTGCTTCTGTTACCAGTAAGTGTAGTGTTTGTTTGTGAGTGTACATTTGACATGCATTTTGGGTTGCATGCATTACCTGAGTGTGACTCTCTCTCTCTTCTAATTCTAGCCTCAGTTAGTCACCTGCCTTTGTTAGACCCCTCATGGTTCCCTTTGTTTCTGTTATTTCTGAATTTAATTTGTAATAAAAATCTCTTGTTGTCAGTAAGCTGCACTGGGATTGTCCTTGACCCAGCCCAGTCATTACAATACATAGTCTTCCCCAAGGAGAGGTTGAGCACAGCTAAAATACAGAGTATGGAAATAGTTTCAAGCATAAACACACCATTAGATAGAGAATACTCTTTACTGTGACTTGCTTATGAGAACAGCTATTGAAAATTATATTTTATTGTAATTGTACAAAAAGATATTTTTCAACTTACCTGTATGTCTCCAGAAATGGCTGCAAAAAAGTAATATGATCATCTCAGGCTTTATCTCATACACACATTTTACTACATCTTTATTTAATAAATGGTTTAAACAATCATGATTATTCATGGAAAATAATATATCAATCTCTAGGAATAATGACCTCTTGAAAACAAGATAACTGGAGTCAAACCACAATATTGGTCAGGGGCAACCCGGGAATTTGCCAGGGGGGGTCCCTTGGTAGATAATGTTGCTGACTGGAGAGGGGGGGGGGGGTTGCCAAATCAATCGGTTGTCCCTCACCAGGCCAGCACACCGGGAGAAGGACCAGACTTCCCAATGGCCACTCTGTGCCTGACGTTGGTCAGCAGCCCATTGTTAGCAGGTGGAAGCAAAGTTCTGTTCAAATGTAATGATCCTGATCCAGTCTGATCCAAAGTCATTTCAGATGACCTCAGAAAAAAATGTTAACTGATAATAAAGTAAAGAGTTACTAAAGGATTTCTAAAGACTTAGGCCTCCACAGTCTAGCAGAAAGCTTAGGAATGACAGAGATTCTGCAGTTTTGACTCTTCGTAGGAATGGGCATCCTAGAAAGGTCAGTACAAGGACATGTCCTGGAACCCTCAAGCAAGGAGCTGCAGCATGATTCATGATTCATAACCATCTCTTGCACTTGATGAGTGAACCATAAGAAAACTACCAAACAAGAATCGTGTCCAAAGGAATTTGCCACAGAGGAAATCACTACCACTTGGTTATATTGGCTGGATCTGATTATTGGGGGGTTCATGAGCCTCCTAACCCCTCTGGAAATTACGCCCATGCCTGGATGGTCCAAAGCACTGGACCAGATTAGAAGAACTTTCTGGTAAAGGTACTCGGCGTTATGTTTGAACAAAACTAAACACTACATTCCAAAACCAAAATCTCAGAAACTGGGTCATCTGATATGAAAATGATCAAGACCACACAGATAAATCAATGAGTGGCTCAAAAAAAAATCACTCTTTAGAATGGACAAGTTAAAATTCTGACCTCAATTACAGTAAAATCCCGACGAGTGATCTGAAGTAGGCAGTTTAAGCAAAAAAAAAAAAAAAAATTGAAACGCGTTTTGTACAGAAGAATGGGCTGCAATGCCTCCCGCGCACAGTGCAGGTCTGGGCAGCAGCGACGGAGAGCGACGTCATTAGCAAGGACGTGCTGCTGAATATGCGAGTTCACAAACTAATATCAATGACCTTGATTAGTTAAATCATTTGCTCATGAAATACACGGTAATTTAAAATAACAGATTATATATGATAGCTTATACCACATATTATGAGTCATTCGTGCAGAAATCCAGATAATTTGAAGACACACAATCTGTACACAACGTTTTCTCATAACTGCATATGCAATTTCAATCCATCCATCCATCCATCCATTTTCCGAACCGCTTATCTTTCTGGGTCGCCGGGGTCCGGAGCCCATCACGGAAGCTACGGGCACGAGGCGGGGAACAACCCAGGATTACATAAGCCAATTATTAAACACCATTAGTATCGAAACTATTTGCACATTCTGAAAAAAAGGAAGCTGACAAGATTTAATTTCTTATGAAAAAACGACACGAATCATTTCTGCACAATGATTAATATAATTCATTTCCAGCACGGCACAAGCGAAAGTGAGAACGTGCACCAGAAAAAAATAAAGCTTATACGAGGCTACCACAAAAACCAGGGCTTACTAAGACACGAAGTGCAGCTGTTTGAACATCAAGTGCCCTGGTGTTCAATTAACCTGTATGCATTTTCGCAAAAAATAAGCGAGGAAGCAACCCGGGGCTTCGGTCGGCTGACTGGCGTGAGATTTTCAAATCTAGATAAGTCTGTACAGATATGTACGTGTATGTATGAGTTTTATTACCCTATAAATAATTTGTTGGGGTTGCAGACCATCCCAGCGCTTTCGATGCAGCTGATTTTAGGTTTATAATGGAATAATATAGATTTGCCGTAAGACTCCTTGCATGAGAGTCTGAAGGCGTGAGTGTCACGCCAGATGCGTGAGTGGCAGCCCTGACCCCGGTGAGGGTGACATGCTGAGTGTGAGCCGTAAAAAGCCCCGAACTCCCATGCCAGTAAGTAGTAGGATGTTCCCACGGCGGGCCCTCTGCCAGGCATAACTGCTGGCAGGAAGAGCGGCGACCTCCGAGACCTGCAGACGACTTGCTACACCGCGGCGCCGCCGGAGACACGCTCAGCCCGCGGGTAACGGGGACGCGGGGACGGCCGGAGCGCGCCGCCGGCTTCCTCTTGGCGTTAAACGCGAGCGACGGCCACACCCTCCGCCGCTTCCTGACATATACGATGTAGCGGGAGCCCAGCAGCGTGACTGGGGATCGCGGCGCTGCGGCTGTGCGAGTCTTTCTCGGCTCGGCGATCCGGGTGAAAGTTGCCGAGGGAAGGGGGTGGTTCTGCTTTCCGAGCTGGCACCGGTTCCACGGGGTGGCCGAACCCAAGTAATGGATACCAAAAGCGAAAGTCTGCGGCGGTGGGCAGCATGCTCATGCGGAGATAAGACATGCACATGGAACTGCGCCTGCAAACAGACCCATTTCTGCTTACGGGACTGTGCATGAAAGAGAGGAGGCTGGAAGTCAAGCGGGGACCGCCGCGTCTGAGCCGGTGGCTCTTCTTTCGGTGGATCGATGGGGCGATGTTGAGGGGTATAGCGGTGGGAAGTCGCGTCCTTAGCGGCATGAAGCTGCGTCCCGGTGACTCTAACGGCAGGGTGGTCGAGACCCACCCCAGGCACATCAATACGCGGCAGTGAAGAGAAAACTGCACAGACAGGTATTGCGATTAGGTAGACGGGAATCGAGAAGACCAATAAGTTAAACGCCGAATATAAGTCGGATATACTTTCTTAAGTTATAAAGACAGTATTCGCATAAACTGAGATGGCACTGGGATTCACAGTGATATCCAACAGGCCAGTGTAATTCCTTGTATTTAGCAAATTTTAATCTGTGAATATTTCTTTTGTGCAAACAGATCGATATATGTAAATATAACATTTAGTGTTTAATTAACCGTAGCTAAAATGCGATAGATGTTGCCATTTTAATATATAGAAAAAAGAGTTGGAAACCGAACTGAAATATGCCGAAAGCTACTTTTCCGGTATAGACATTTATCAAGAAAAAAACGGGGGATGCTAAGGATAATAGACTCCCTTTTGCCGTTTATTACCAGAGACAGTAACGGAAAACTGGCGATTATAGTCACCTACTGGCACTGAACGTTGATTTCTTTTTCAGCTCTACGTTACAGCGCAGCGTATGTACTCTGAAAGACTGCAAAGTAAATTTCTTGGTGAACTATTTTTTTGAGATAGTTGAGCAAGAGTGCTGCCTTTTAGGAGCAGAAATGTCCTAAAGTACTAGTTGTCGCGAAGGAATGTGAGGTTTAATTATTATTTTTTTTAAATATAAATTTAAAAAACACAGTAAATCAGTTTGATCACCCTGTTATGGCTAGTGGGGGCTCGGGGAAGCCATGTAGCGAGGGATCGGCGGCCAGTCCAAGCAGCAGCCTTCCACACCGGAGGCGGCTGTCCTCCATCTGTGACAGCTGTAAGGGCCGGATGCAGCTGGTGGCTGACCTGCTCCTGCTGTCCAGCGAGACGCGGCCGGTGACTGGTGCTGAGGGACTGCCGGTGGCTGAGACGTTCGAGCAGTGCCGGGACACCGTCATCGCCAGGACCAAAGAGCTGTCCATCTTGACGCACGACATCCAGAGCCATCTCAACATGGGCCGCTTCGTGGAGGCGGGCGACCGGCTGCTGGAGATGGCAGACCTGGTGGTCTCTCTGACCGAGTGGTCTGCGCACGCTGCGTACCTGGCCGCCACTGAGGCGCCGGGCTCCCTCGCCGCCCTCCAGGGCCTGGTGGATCGCTACAAGGTGACGCGGTGCCGGCAGGAGGTGGAGCAGAGCTGCGGCGCGCTCAGGACCGCCGCCCTGGCTGACCTGACCCCGCAGCTCCTCCTGGAGGTCTCCCAGAGCATCTCCAGGAACCTGAAGATGCTGACCGACGCCTCAGTCCTAGCCAGTGAGAGGTCCAAGGAGCGCTTCGCCAAGGAGCAATTCAAGCTGGGCGTGAAGAGCATGAGTACCAGCGCTTCGGCCTTGCTGGCCTGCGTCCGGGAGCTGAAGGGCAGCCCCAGCGAGACGGCACGGGCGCGCTGCGTCCTCTTCAGTGGGCCGCTGCTGCAGGCCGTCCACGCCCTGGTGGGCTTCGCCACCGAGCCCCAGTTCCTGGGCAAGGCAGCCTCCGTCAGCGCTGAGGGGAAGGCAGTGCAGACGGCCATCCTGGGGGGCGCCATGAGCGTGGTCGCCGCCTGCGTCCCCCTCACCCAGGGTCTCAAGGAGCTGGCCCAGCTGCCGGAGAACAGCGGCAAGACGGCAGAGTGCCGGGAGCGTCTGCGCAGCTCTGCCTGCGCGGTGTGCGAAGGCTGCACCCTGCTCTCGCAGGCTTTGCGTGAGCGCGTGTCCCCCAGGACCTTGCCGTCAGTTAACTCTCATCCTGTGAATTAAACCTTGTGCAAATGGAGGTGTCTCACCCCTGACGGTGAGAGTGACTGCCAGAAAGTCTGGTGGGGGGGGGGGGGCTCCCAGTTTTAGGATTCGGAAGGGGCTGCCCTCACACTGCATACAACTGAAGCTTCTCCAGACCCGAGATCTGGGTTACGCCACCCTCCTCGTCACGTTTGAGGTCAGTTGGGACCAGGAACGTTTACCTCAGTCTTCTGCCATTTTAAAGATGACAGACTCCTGGAGCGCGTCCAACGCTCTCCGGAAGGACGGCTTGTCCGTGTCCTTGTGTAAGTTCGGAAGGATTAAAGCTGCTGTGATTTCATTCTCTGAATCGTTACACTATTTACCAGACTTACACATATTTGTAATGTGTTTTGGTCATGCATGTATGGGCTATTTATTTGTACTATTAAAACATTGGTCTCTGTTGAATGCTATTGAATTTCTCTTATTGATCTGCCACTCTACCACATACTTTAATAATTTAATACCTGCTTATTAGACACTTTTATCACATTAAATTTAATGAGGACATGATTAAACAATTAAAGAGTCGTTGATTTGCACTGTTGAATTTTTTAATGAAACGATTTCTGTGAATTTCCTGGCTGCAGGGTTGATGTGAGGCTTGAACGCAGACATAGACTAATTTTATCAGTTATTTAATTTCTCTAGAAGTAAACTATTAGCTCTCCTAACTGTAGTTTTGTTTGGTATCTGAGGACACTATAAAAAGACACTAAAGGGTATGTAAATGATGGGAATTTCCACAGTGCCTGAGAAAGGGGTTTAAGGGGCAGTATTTTAACATAAAACATTCAAAATGTACTGACAAGGAGCAAACTGCCCCCTGCCTGTATAGGGACAGTGGGCCGGCCCGGGATCTCCCCGAAACAGTGATGAATGAGCTTTCTGAGTGGCGCTGCTTTGAGAGCTGTGCTGATCTGCCCGTCTCCATCTCTGCTCCAGCAGAAGCTCACGCCGAATGTGTTAGGAAGAGGAATTACGCCACACATGCTTAATCATACAAATGGCGGCAAAGGTGTAAAGTTTTATTCACACCAAATTGACAAAGAAGATGTCATGGCGAAACCTCACATCACGCGAGATGAGTCGGCGGCATTTTCGGAGCGTTGCTCGGGCTTTTTGCCGTGGCTTCTTTACATGCAGCGCTGCCCGCAGGCTAATGCTAACAGGCTCTTGCCCATGCGTGAGCGGCACGCTGAGCAAAACCAGACATTTCTCACCCCAAAAGCATTAGCATCTCAGCCATGATGGCAGTCATCTTAGACAAAGTTGTCCCCCATAGGGTTGCAGGCATGGACCTTCCTGAGAACCTGCTTGGCTAAGGTACCTATTAAGATGTCAGAGCCTGTAAATCACTCAGGATTCTGTTTATACATTAGGCTCAAGATGCCCAGCTCATCTGATCCATGATGACAGTCAGATTGGTGGGACGAGCCACGCAAACAGCAAGAACAATTATCTTAGAGCTGATGGTATTAAAGTTCTTGCATGTGCACAGATTATAATCAGATTATAATGTATATAATCTGGTGTGATATATCATCAGATTATAAGTAAGTAAGTAATGTTTATTTTTAAAGTGCTTTTCACTGACACAAAGTCACAAAGCGCTGTACAAACGATAAGAAAATAAATATACATAAGATAAAAACAACACAATTGCATAAAATAGAATGAAATCAGAACAATTAATAACAAGAAACAGAACCAAAGCCCTGGTTGAATAGGTTTTCAGATGTAGTTTAAAGGAGTCTAAAGAAGCAGAACTTTGAAGTTGTAGTGGAAGCTCATTCCAAAGCTTCGGTGTAGTGGAAGCTCTGTCTCCCCGAGTCTTTAGTCTCGTGCGGGGAGTAACTAACGGGTTCTGAGCCTGGGAGCAAAGAGCACGAGCAGCTGTATATTTAAGGAGGAGCTGGATCACATATCCAGGAGCCTGCCCATTTAGCGCTCTATATGAAATAGCCAGGATCTTAAAACGAATCCTAAAATCTATTGGGAGCCAATGTAAAGAATGTAAAATAGGGGTAATGTGGGCCCGCTTTCTGGAGCGTGTTAGTAACCTGGCGGCAGCAATTTGTACAGTTTGTAAACACATGAGAGACGATTTATCCAAACCTGTGAACAAAGCATTACAGTAATCTAAGTGCGATGAAACAAATGCATGAACAATTTTCTCCAGCTCTGCTGATGAGACCAACGGACGTAACTTAGCAATATTCCTCAGATGAAAAAAACAGGAGCGTGAAATATACGTGCGATTCAAATCCCAGAGAGGAATCAAATATTACACCAAGATTACGAACCTTGGACTCGGCAGAAGTACAAATAGTAGAAATCGACTCACTGATCTTGGAGTGTAAATCAAGAGGAGCTACAATCATTGTCTCAGTTTTTCTAGAGTTTAAATAAAGGTAATTATTAGAAAGCCAGTCACTAATCCGAGATAAACAATCAACCAGGCTAGACAGCTTGTTCAGATGATGAGGTTTAAATGATACATACAAGTGAATATCATCAGCATAAAAATTATAATAAATATAATATATATGGTATAATATATTATCTGATTATAACCCTGCACATCTGAGGAAAACATTCTCCAGTATAACGTTAAAGAAGCCATATTCCCTGGCTGCCTTCTGCCTATCGTGTGACATTTTCTTTGGGGCAAAGGCACCATGGGAACATATCACCCTTTGGCATGGGCCCTGTCTGACAATCTGATCACCTGATCCATTCACAGTGGAACCGGCAGCATTGGGACCTTGCTGGCCACACAGAACCCGTACCACGGTGCTCAGATGGTGTTTCTGAAGCGGGCTCACATGATCTGCCTGTATATCTGTTCCGTTTGCTATCATGGCACCGTGATAAGCTTTGAACCAATACCAGACCCACCCCTTTGCCTGCTTGAAGTTTCACAGCAAAAAGTACTTTTTCCAGGCCCTCGGCCTACCTTCAGACGTGCACAGAGACAATGAACGGATGGCCAGCTCCCTGCCAGCCACAGACCACTCTAATCCTCTTCAAATTGCATGTTATCTGGAGATGCCGGCTCCCTCATCGAAACTCTTTCGGGATTGCGACGGACAGAAATAGCACTGACTTCGACGGAATCCTGCAGCCGGAGCGATCGCAGAAGCAGGTGTGATCGGCGTCTCTCATGGGCTGCAGAGGCCCCGGCCGCGTGGAAATGGCCTGGTGCTGTCTGGCGACAGACAGAGCTTATGGAGTTCTGCCAGAAACCTTCACGTGCCCCAGGATCGTTTGCCTTTCCTGAAAAACTGAAGCTGTTGCTTCACAACAGGAAGCCAATAGGCTGTGCTATCGGGGGTGTTTCCTTCAGAGCAGAGAATGACTGAGTAATAATTTGGAACAGGGGTTCGCCCATTTCCTGCCACAGGACGGAGGTGGGTGTCCTAACCCAGTCCCTGTGAGCCTCCCCATCCCTCTCTTGAAATGGTGTAACACTCCCCGCTTTGGAGGCATGTGGGCCGCGGTGCTCAATCGACTTAACTGACATACAAAGGCTTTGGATTTCTCCTTTACTTCATCTCTAAGCTCAGACCATCAAGCCAAACACACTCACACCCCCAAACTCAGAGAAAATAGGCCTAAAGAAAGTGTTTTTTTTATGTGACCACACATCTGCTCCATTTTACTTTTGATACACTGGTTTTTTATTAGTTGCGACCAAAAAATAATCTGCAAAGGCCTCATAAAATTGCTATGTAACAGTATGCCCTCTCATTACTAAAGCATGATGCCACAGAAGCCCCAACAGCTGTGAACAGCCAATGAGAATAATGGACCCCTGTCACGTGATCGCTGTCCCGTGACGGCCACAACAGAGCAACAAAAAAGCAAAAAGTCACAGGACAGGCATTCCAGGGGAGCCGAGCAAACCGTGGACTCAACCGGGAGGGTCCTGCATAGACCATGAGGGGGGGGGGGTGAGGCATCTGTTGCCTTCATCAATATGGTCAGCTCATTTCGCAGTGATTCTGCCCTTCACTCTGGCGTCCTGTTGCCTTGGAAACACCCCCAGCATCGAATTCCCGGACAAAAAGCCATGTGGAGATGACAGGCGGCATCGCCCCTCCGATGTGCCCTGCTGGAATGCCACTGGCGTGCGTGGGGCCCCCCCTCACACCTTCCCAAAGCTGCACCTCCCAACGTCAAACAGTGGCCATCTTTGTATGTTTCTAACCCCACCCACTGGGCGCCCGCTACGTCTGTTTGGACAGAACTTTCGGTGGAACTCTGCACCGAGTGATTCTGGGCCCCATCCCCACTTCCCACCTATTCCTGGTTCCATTACAGGATGGCGCCACCTGCTTTGTCATTGTGCCTTGGCTTCCGGGAGGGGGGGCGGTTGGCACGGGAGTTCTCACCTTTGAACCCCAGGTGTCAGATTCACAGCACCTGTGGGACTGAGTGTGTGAGGTGTCATCCAGAATGTTCCAGAAACATGTGAAATGTAAATATGGTTTCAGTGACTTGGCAGTGCAGTACTGTAGTGGGTATGCATTTTGACCGGAAAACCACTGATCTTCAAATGTTCAACTTAAACCTCAGAAAACATCTAAACTGTTTACTAAATAGTTAATCAGTTGTACTTTTACTCCATGTAGTGGTATGCTGCATGAGGTATAAGATCTTAAGCTACATTCATAGACAATAAAGCTTCTAGCTCTACACAGAAATAAAATGAACAGTCAGATAAAACTCCATGCGGAGTAAATTACTTTTGATGACTGTGTTTGACAAAGAATAAAAATAATGAAAATGTTATGTACAGAATGAGCAGTCCAGAAATACAAGTTCATATACAACTGTTTAAAACATCTAGTACAAATGTCTAGAGTCAACACTTAGAAGGCATGTTAACCCTTTTGATAAATCCTGCTTCTGACTATTACAGGAAAAGCATATGATCCACGTAAAGAAGCCTGCTGTGAACAGAACAGCGCCGCAAAGACCCAGAAGTGTGAAATTCTCTTAGGGGGAACCTAAGGATCTGCTTACTATTATGGCTGTAGATTTTTCCATATACCTCCCGTCCCTTTGAAGGCTAATATGAACCAGCTCTAACACACTAACCCCCTCCCCTGGGAACATTCCCTTTGTGTGACGTCATCCCTTCACGCCAGCCCAAGGCCTCTTTCTGCCTTTTTTAAAAATACCTATAAACACAAATCATGGATAGATCTATAGCCTGTGAATGCCAGTTCAATAGTTCCTAGAAACTGCCGAGTGTTATATTTAAAGACCTTTTAGGGGTTGGCAGTTTTATTCCTATGGAGTGGCACTATTTTAATCACACTGGCTAGTCTGGGCGTTTGCGGATTCGACATGTCTGAAGAGGAACAGAGGGGCCCTGGCTGCAAAAAAAACCAAAAGAAAAAAACGGATGTGATAGATTCCCTGCTCACTTAAAAGTGATGTAAAACAACTGCAGCTGGCTCCCATTGGACGAACCGTAACAGGCAGGGCGGCCGGGAAAGCCCAGCGGGGCGGAACCGGCAGACGGCCTTGCTGCTGGCTTGGCCTGGCTGCCCGGGGGGCTCAGCACCGGAGACTGTTGTTATATAAAAATAATACGGCAGCCTGAGAGGGAGCACTCATCAATGGGGAAGGGGCTCGGGGGAGGGGCTGGACCAGGCGGGAGCCTGCCAAGCACCCCCTCCCTGCCCTGTGGCCAGGCCTGTTTACTGGCTCAGGGTGGTCTGTTTTTCATGGGGGTGTGGCCCACTTCCTCCACAGACGCGGCACTGAGCGGCGGTCTCTCCAGCATCCTGTCAGCTCTGAGCATGCTCACAGCGACCACTGCGACGTCACAGGATCCAGCTGGCCGGGAAGGGCGGCCTCAGATCAGCAGGGCGACCATTCAGATCCCCTTAGATTAGTACACTGGGGGGGAACTCAGTGGCCACTTTATTAGGTACACCTGCTTGCCAATGACAGCAGCCTGCTCCTCCGAACAGCCAATCACGTGGCTACAACCGAATAGAGCATGCAGACAGAGGTTCACTTCCATTAGAATGGCTAAAACACCAGATCAAAGCAATTCTGAATGCGATATGATTGCTGGCGCTAGGCGTGGTGGCTCCAGCATCCAAAAAGAGCCGACACCCTAGAATTTTCACAAACCACAGTGTCTAAAGTTCACAAAAAAATAATAAAACCCACCCAGCATCATATATATATATATATATATACACATGTAGACACATCTACTCTCCAAGCGATCCAGAAGGGGTCCTGCCCAGTACCAACTTAAGTGGCTACTGAGTGTATATGGACTAGATTCAGTCAATATCAGTCTTGAGCTTTCAAGTATGTTCAATCCAAATTAACTTTTTTAAGTCAAAATCAAATGTCTTTTGTTCCAATGTATTTCATAATTTGGCTTGACTAGATTGTTATATAAATATAACACTGATGTTGAAGACGAGTCTAAATTTTTTTTTATAAATTAGTGCTCAGCATAATCAACATTTATATGAGTTCCTTAACTGTTCTGTGATTTTTGACAAGTTTAATTTACATTTAATTATTAGTTAGTCGTGGCCAGTATTTTGGCAGTCGTTCTCCAGGTTTTTGCCTGGAAATGCTCCAAAAGCACCGCTCGGGTCTTGCAATACATTTCTTTAACCGCGCATCTAACAGCAGATGCGGTTTGCACTGCTATACGGATGCTTTCCAGTTGGTGGAAATCCAAAACACAAAGATATATACGAAATTAACCCTCCGCAAAATTTCCATATCAGATTAAGTACACAAGAAATTCAAGGAACGCTGATTCAGTTTACCTATACTCCTGTGTTATTTAAGCAATATCGTGTGTTCGTTTTTTCATTGTAAATAATTAAAAACACATAAGATTTAAAAAGTACATATATAACTCCAACCAGACAGCACGCAAATGAGGCACCATGGGCGACACCGACGTGTCCCTTAGAAGAGGACGAATGGGGACCCCTACAGGACAAAATAAAAAACGACTCCACGCTCCAAACGCCGTTACCATAGTGACGAGATGTCAACAATCCGCCTCGGGGAGACACCGCGGGGAATCCCTGGTGCCAGGTGCTCACCTTACGATGGCCGGTATCAGGACGTATGGCCGGCATGTACGCGTCGGAAACTGGAGCGAGGATGTTGTTCTCGACGAGGTAAAATAGCAGCTCCAGCCTTTGTGGGAGCTCTTTCGGGCGGGAGTAAATTGGGAATGTCTCTTTTAGCTAAGAGCCGAAGCTCTTCATGTAGGCGTGTCATACGCTATTATATATAGGCTATATATAATATTCCTACAAATACGTTTTTGGTATTAAGAATCAGTAATATCTTTCAACATGTTTATTTTTAGTGTTTTCAGATATTACGACTGAGACACGTACGCATTAACAGTTTAACCCCATATACTGGTCACGGACGTGCGGTGCGACGTTTTAAGTTTAACATTATAACGTGGACGAGGAAACGTGTTTGGATGCTAAAAAAGAGTTATCTCCACTCAACAAACGCATTTTCACTCAAGGATGTACGGGTGAAATACAGCACGATAAAACACATCTAATGGAAAAGTCCAACCGTATTATCCACTGTAATGTTCCAGTTAGGATTACCGCCTAATCCACGTCAAGGAGGTAAACTACCATTTTGGTGTGTTAAATGAGGGTAAACCAAATACTGTGCAGGGATCCGCCCCCCCAGGACTGTAGTTTGAGACCACTGACCTTAACTAAATGTGCTTTGAACATGGTTGGAATCTGGAGTAGCAGAAGATCATGCTAACCTCACGTCCCTTGGAGGTGTGATACCCACTTAGCCAGTGCCTTGCAGAGATTTTTCAAGGGACAAGTGCTCAAACGGAGGGGTGGGGAATACCTCCAGCAAATTCTGGTATGATTTGTTGATGGGGGAGGCAGGGGCGTTGCTAGAGATTTTGGGCCCCATGAAAGCATATCATATTAGGCCCCCCAGTCCAAACCAATCCAGTTATTTTCCTAATTTTTTAGGGCCCCTGTCACTCACCTTTGAATCGTCCTAGCTTTCCTCCCCCTTACGGTGCCCCTGGGGGGAGGGGGGTTCCCCCTTGGTAAGCCCCAGAAGGCCCAGGTGCACAGGTACCCTCAGCCCCCCAAGTGCCTGCACTTAGCTACTGTGTTGTGTAACTCAGATATAATGTAATAAATGTGCATTCATTATTTATCTGATATTAACGCCTGTTGCTGTTTTAACCCCAGGAAATGCTGAAGGACTTCCTGGAGAAGAAAGAGAAAGGAGAGCTGGTTTTCCAGAAGACAAACCTTGTAAAACAGAATATGTTGAAAAAGGTAGTTTAATGGTGTGTTTAATGTAGTGAGAATTCCAACAGAATGTCTAACTGGTTTCATAGAGTTTTTGGGCTGCAAACTGGTCTCTGTGTGTATATGAATATAATAATTATTTGCTTAGTGAAACAAAAGAATTTCACTTTGAATATTGTTCCCTAGATCGACTTGACAGTAACAACTGATGGATGGTTACACTTCGGGGACGTGGTGATACTGGTGAACCCTGGGGGCGATCAGGGTGAGCATTCGCTAGGCTGGCAGACGAAGAGAGATGCAGCGGCCGTTAGTATGCATTTGGATCCTAGCTCCGCTGCAATGAGCTCACTTACCCAGACGCCCCGCGAGGTCACCGCGACCAGAGCCGTGGAATCTTGCGGCAGGACTGCCTTCGTCGTCACCAGGTAGCCGTCATTCACCAGCTGATTGTTTTGTTACACCAGCCAATTTTGCGTATTTTTAAAGAAACATTTATGTTTTCTTGAACCAGCGTTGATGGGACTCCAGAGGGGGAAACCGTGAAATATAATCAGAGTTTCGCCTTTCGTTTAAAAGATGCGTTTGCTGGTGAGGTGAGTTCAATCTGAAACAATGTAGATATTAAAAAAGTCTAATCCGAATTTATGAAATGTCCTCTCTCACCTATACTACACATTTATGAAGTTGTGAATTTTAGGGAAATGTACAAAGAAATAAGTCTGAACAGAGCATTGCTTTGGCTTAATCTTTACGGGTTCTGCTGCCACTCACAGCTGTACCTAGCGAGTGACCAGCGGACGTTCCTGAAATGTGCCAGGAGGTCCCGCCTACAGGAGGTCAGCCTGTCCAGCCACACATCCTTCTTCACCTGCTGGCAGGTGGTGTACCTAGACCCGCAGGAACGCATGGAGAACGAGGGTCTTCCTGTTCCAGTGAGCCCCCCCCCCACTCCACCCCACCTGATTTTTTTTCCATCAATATTTCTGCATCAAACTCTGCTTGTTAAGCTTTCATTCTTACTGCCTTCTCTGCAGGTAAATAAAAAGGTCCTTATCACTCACTGCAAGACAAACCAGTGCTTAGCTGTACTTGGAAATTATGTTTTGTGGTAAGTGTTTTTTAAATAGAACAATTTACTGTTAGTCACACTATATAACCCAAACTATATGGACACCCTTATTAGAGTAATTTTTTAATTAAGCCACACCCATTACTGACACACGTGCATAATTTAAGCACACAGTTACGCAGTCAGCAGCAACAAACACTGGCCGCAGTGTTATGGGTAACCAGTATCCATGGTTATCCAGAAGTGATTATTGACTTTCAGCTTAGTACCATCATAGGGTGCCATCATTCTCAAAAGTCAGTTTTGCCAATTTTTTCCCTTATAAAAGTGTTTCTGCTCAACTTCAGTTGAAGTGACAGAGATGTGTAAATGTCTGGGAGCAAGTCCAGCTGCAAGGTGAGGGCCACACAAGCTCTAAGGAAGGGACCCGATCACCCAGCATCAATACCCACCCTGAATGGCAGCAAATCCCACCAGCATCTAATGGGCAGCCTTCCCAGAGTACAGGCTAATATATTGACAAAGGGAGGACCAGCTCCATATCAAATCCCTTGGTTTTCAGAGATATTGAATAAGATGGTGTCCACATACTTTTGGCCATGTAGTGTATTTTTATAACCAGTTTAACTTTTAATTAACCAGATACTGTACTAGGAATGTATGCCTATATCAAGGAAATCTGCTTGTTTGTAGAATTTCAAATGCAAAGAATGATTCAAAACCAAGCACAATGTAATTCACAGGACAGCCTATGGAAAGGAGTATGAGGTGGTGGCCCAGACCTTCCTGGACTCCCACAAGGCTGAGCGGGAGATGAACCACTGGCTGCTGGTGACTGCAGACCCCGCTGTGCAGGGACAGGCCATGACAGACAGACCCCACGCAATGGCCGCCATGTCAGCCACTGAGGATTCCCAACACCGTGGCACTGAAGGCGGTGCTGAGGAAGAGCAAAACATGTAGTAAATTAAAGTCACCTTTGGAATTTTTTTCTATATTCTTTAATAAAATATCATTAAATTCATTTAAAATTTAAATAATTTCAAATTGCATTAGCTATATTCTGCTGTAACATCTAATAACATACTTCATAAGATTGCTGTGCTGAAAATATGTAGTAATTTACGTCCTTTTCCAACAGAGGGCGAGAGCAGCTTACTTTATGTAGCAGTAGACCTGTAACATTACTAAGGTGATAAAATGTGTTCTGTCATGCAGATATTTAGCTGTTAACAGTCTAAACTGCTTTGTAAGTTTCTTATATACCATCTCATGTTTTTTTCCCTTATAAAAAAAATCATCCATCCATCTATCAAGTTATATCCAGGGTCTAAAGTTGTCGTTCTCAATAACTTTAATGTTCCTTAGAATGACTATTTAAATTACATTGATATTTAAAAATATATATATTTGTAGTTTTTTTAACTGTGGTGATGCTGAGAAATCGAGAGGAAAAAAAGATGCCTGAGTTTGCGCGAGTCAGTGGGTCAGAATACTCAGTGCCACTGTACTAGTCTGCAGTGAACCCAGTACCGATGTAGCTTATGGAATGACAGCTCATCTTATCAGCCCAGTGTCACTTTAGCCTACATGCTAACATAAGATATGCTGTGTCATTGTAGCCTGTGCTTTAACATGGGATAATTTTTCATTCGGGACAAGTCTGTACACATATGCACATGCATTTACATGTATGTAACAGTTTTAGTACCTTGTAAATAGTCTGTGGGGTTTGCAAACTACCACAACACTTTTGATGCAGCTAATTTTAGGTTTATAATGGAATAATATAGATTTGCCGTAAGATTACTTTGTAAGAGTCAGAGTCAGATAGCGTGAGAGTTGGCAGTCCAGATACCCACTGCTGCTTTACCAGCGTGCTAACATAAGATATGCTATGTCATTGGGCATCCTGTGCTAAAGGACAGGTTACACAACCACTTTAGCCTGCATGCTAATGTAAGGTTCTGCTGTTAATACCTTGAATTTACTACCGTCGACCCTTCCACATTGCGGGGGTTGTGGGTACAGGGTCCCCTTGGGGAAAAGCAAGCAAAGCAAGCACGAGAGTGAAGCGTTTCAGATTTACGGCCATAAAACTGCACAAAAAGATGCACGAAGCGAGAGATACTAAGATCACCGCGAGAGGTTGCCGTAAACATGCTTGGCGTCCTCCAGACCATGTGTTTGTATGTGAGTTTTATGCATTTATGATGTACTAAACTCTTCGTGAGTCGTCTGTGGCTTTTGCAAAATTCCCCCCCAAAATTCCCACTTAGTTCTTTACGCCGACCGCGATATATATAAACCGTGATGGGGAAAGTCAAGATGCAGTAACGCTGACTGTATACGTACAATCGAGTAAAGTGGGTATCGTATATTACGCCTAGTATAGTGCAGCTTCAGCGAGGGGCCCAAGGGCAGCACCCGCGGTCTGTCTGTAGCAGAATAAGGCGTCCCGGCGAGTCCTGCAAGGCCACCGTGAGCTTCTGTCGGGGACAGTGTGCGCAGCCTGCACTCCAGCCGCCTAAGCTCAGCGGCAAACGAGCTTTTTTAGGCTGCAGGACCAGACACAATCACATCAGTCTGCTTATACTGGTGTCGGCATGATGATGGTCAGGGTCTTTAACAGGATTAGCAAACCCCCTTTAGGCCGGCCTGCCTTATAGGCGACATAGGCGATCGCCTAGGGCGCCATGTGATTAAGGCAGAGTTTCCCAGTTCCTGTCCCGGAGGGCCAGTTTGCACCACAATTTGCTGACTTTCCTGCTCCTCCTATTAGCTTATTAAGGTGTGCTTGTGAAATGTGCAAACTATGTTGTATTCTGTCCCTCCAGGAGCAAACCCGGGATTAGGGGGTGCAAAAAAAACAACTGGGGGAAAAAAATCTAAAGAAATACCTCTCGTTGCATTCAGTGACATTACATTTATTTACACTAGTTTTAATGTTTCACTACTTCTCTTGTGAAACTGACCCAAGTATCTAGATGGCAGCAAGATTCCCTGTGCTTACGAAATGTTTTTAATATAAATTAATTGACAAAATTTGTTTTCTGCTGATGTGGGATGGGGAGGGGGGTGTTCATTCAATGTGCATTCAGCACATTTCATTCAGGTGCTAAATCACTTTCACATGCAATATTAAGTAAAATAAGCAAATATTTGTAGAAAATGAGTGAGCATTCTTGGCTTTTAATATACGAGCTACAGCTTATATGAGCTACTCATGTAGAAAAATTCATATTTACGTTCTTAAAGTGTGCGGCACAAAACACTCCCAAGAAGTGCGACCTCAGAGGACACTGCAGGGCAGGAGCGTAAGCCCAGCGCGTTAACGGGGAGAGGATAGCAGCAAACAGGCGACCACTGTCAGGACAGGAGGCTCACATGGACAGACGGTACAGTTACACGCAGAGAAAACGGCGTGCGGAGAGTGACCGCAGAGAAACGGCGGGTAGGTGTGAGGCTCAGCCTGCCAAGGAATTGTGCGCGTTTTTTTCCCCTAGAACAGGAAAAGACTTCAGTCTGGTATGAAACGTCCTCTGTGTTCCCAGCTGCCTGAGCCTGGGGGTGGGGTCCAGTGGGCGGATGGGAGTTAGGCGAACCCAGCCTAAATCATCCTCGTGTTCTGGCTTGCGGTCCAGACGATCGGCTGAGCTAGAAAAGCTCACTGAGACCCCTAATGTCCGTTCTGTACCTAAAATCCTCGTTCAGAGAATGCCGAAGATGACAGGGACTGGGAGAGTCCCCCCGGAGCCCCTCGCGGCGGCGTCACACAGAAAGGATGGTCAACACTGGTGAGTGATTTGAGAAAATGTTGTGCTCTGATGGCCGGGTGTGTTACATAACGCCGTCTCTCCGAACGCCTGCGTCTGTCCTTTCACTGCCAAGCTTCTAGTGCAGGGCAAATGGCTTCTACATGACACTACGCAGTTACTCTCACTCAAACGCAGGCACCCGCTCAGAGCTGGACCGCAGCAACCTGCCACTCACCGGGACGAGTGTGTTTACAAACAAGCACACACGCGTCTCGCAGTCTTACGAGATGCTTGGTCTTGGGTGTTTTAATTCCAGTGACAAACAATGCATCGCAGCTGTGCTAAATTTATAGTCCATAGTCACAGAGGAGACGATGCCGTTATTTAGAGAGGAGCCTCTCATCGGTTTTCCAGACATAAATGTTTGCTAGATGAAGCCGTGTGGACTTTAGCGGGAGAGGGGAGGGAGGACGTCACACTGATCCTGCCAGTGGATTCGCTCACAGCCCTCGGGAGCCAGTGTACACACGGAGAGGTGTGTTACGGCCGGGCTGTCTCTCTGTGCCAGGTGACGGGGACGGAGACGGGGACGGGGGGATGGAGCAGTGAGATTGCTGCATTCCCGCAGCCTCTCACTTTCACAGCGGCCCATCTCACCTTCCCAGTCCTTTACTGTCACATTTCATTGCCTCACAGATGGGATACAGAGGGTGGCTGATGCGGTGTGCATTCTCTGCTGGAGGGCAGACAGTGGGTGTGTTTTTTCTTTCAACAGAAAGGGTTAGGGTTAGGGTTAGGGTTAGGGTTAATTTAGTAACATAAACCTGTTTAGCATTTACACTTTGAGGTACTTGAACCATGTAAAAGGAACTCATTTATCCTGAAACATCTTGCTATGAATTTCTACATGTGCGGTATGTTGTATCACTTGCTTTTTAGATACTGCTAGAAAAGGCTGGGAATAAATGTAAATTTGACATATTACTATAGCAAACAAGGTGGTACTTCACCTAAAGAATCAGGGTCTAACCTGTTGTACCACCTATGACTAAGTTCATGTCTGTACAGTACAACAAACAGTACTTGATTATCAGATTAGTTTTCATAATCAATTCAATAATCGACCAGAAATGGCGGATGTCCTTCTGTTTTGAAATTACATCAAAGACATATCCTTCCTCCACATCTCTAATAGAAGTATTAGATTAACCCGCTGACCAGTGAGCGCTAATCGTGCTGAGACAGGCATCAGATATGCCCTTCATCCGCAACACAGACATCTGCCAGCAAAGGGGATGACCGGTTCAATAAAACAAGCGTGGACTCCGGCATACAAAGGGCAGCCCTGCCATTTCATTAAAAGGTTGAATGTTTCTGGGGCTAACTCAGCATTTGTCCCCTCAAGAAAGGAACATAACTGGAATTGGTTCAGAACATAAAACTTGTGCTTCAGAAGAGTCTGGCTTACTTTAGCCAGGAACATCTGCTCCTAAAAGATACCTAAAGGCTAAGCATTGTTGTTTCGTAGCTGACAACCCCCACCAGAATCTCAAACAAAACTGCATTTCTGTGGCCTGCTGGGACGCCAATATTTCTGCAGCCTGGTCTATGCTTTTAGACGCAGGTCTGACTGACAGGTACTGACTGCTCATCTATCCATCCCAGTGCCGCTGATGGGGGGAGAGCGGGGGGGGGGCGCAGGGCACACCAGCCAGATGCTTCGGGGGTCAGAAGCTGAGTAAGCGAGTATTTACCCAGCGCGGGGGCTACCACCGCGTCACATTAGAGAAAGGGCACCACCGCAGACGGCTCCTGTGTGCTGGTGCGTAAACTCAGCCATTAAGTTATTAAGGCCCCCAGTCGATGAGAGCATCTGGCCAGCGTCTCCCACGCTCCTGCACTGAGCTCCAGATGGAAACGGGTGCCTGGGCTTTCCTGCTCAAACTCGCTAATCAACGCCATTTGCACACGTGGTCTGCATTTCGTCTCATTCGTACAAATAAATATACATGTACGGTATTTACTTGGTGGATACTATCCCTCAAGTGCCCTATGGGACAGTGTTAACCTGTGGGACAGTGTTAGTGTAACCTGCGGGACAGTGTTAGTGTAACCTGCGGGACAGTGTTACTGTAACCTGCATTTTGAGGGATGGCAGATCAGCTAGTATATCAAACTTCTTCTGTGTATTGGCTAGTCTTTACACATCCGGCTTTTGCACCAGGGTGGGGTCGCTGTCAGTCAGAGAAAAGCCCCACTGCTGAAACGCCTTGGCTTACGCTTGTACTGTGACTATGACCTGGAGTCAGACTGAATCAGCCATGAACGTTACTGCATCTGGAAGACCATCGTGCCTGAGCACAGGGCTAGGGATATGGCCCGAGTGCTGTCTGACATGAGGGATCTCCCAGTGTGGAAATAGGAACTTGTGGGTGAGGCTTGTCTTCGTCAGGTCCTACTGAAACAAACCAAGAAGCTCAAATGAGACTGAAAGGCCAAGCAAGTCAAAGCTCCGCTGAGCAAACTGGGTGATTGAGACAATGTAACAACTTAGAATATTTTTATATTTAACTCCTATCTGCGCTAATATGTACATGACTGAAGAGAAATTCAAATGAGACTGTATTAGGCAGAGACATTCACTTGACCTAATGGCGGAACACTGAGATTCCATATGGAAACTCCAGAAATGGTCACACACCATCATAATCTGACTGGTATTTTTCTCTTGGACAGTTACACTATCTTACTGTACTTACTGGTTAACTATGTTCTCTTTTCAGTGTTACATATCATAAATCTATAGTGACTTCAAGGAACTTCCAATGGTGAACGTGAAGTCACAGTCTGTGAGAACTGTGTGTGTGGCTTGACTGGCAAATATGGCTGGGCTGCTTAGGTCACTACCCATAATACATCAGAGTCATTCAGAAATATCTCTGGATCACTGTGGTAACTGTGGTCACATGATTCACTGTACAGTCCAAAGTCATACTGGGGGGAGGTCGGGCCTGGAAGGTTAACTTCGGGCCGTGTGGGTAATCCCTGAGATGAGAGTTAAACTTGAATCATGTTGTGATAGACTCTTTGTCTCAGGGAGTGAAAAGATCTTCTGTCTAGCCAAGAGTCTGGCAGAGAGTTTCCGATATAGGAGACCAAATTGATGTTTGTCACCTCAACAGAGTGTCCCATTTCACAAGCCGGGCAGGTCGGTTCGGAACCACCCACCATGGAAATGCGGAGGTGCGACAGGCGGCAGGGGAAAGCGAACGGCATGACAGCCCGGGGTGTAGAGCTGAGGGGAAGCCAGAGATCGAAGAAGCTGGCCCTCATATCCAGGTCTCTGATCCTGTGTAAGACCGTGCCCAGCGATGACGGCTCCAACCAGGATGAAAAGCCTGCCGGCCACTGGACGTCCCCCGAGGAAAACCTTTCCTGTACAGAAGAGGTGGCCCATACGGAATTCCCTCAGCGGCACGGGGCCCCAGGGCAGCAAAAGGGCAGCCTAAGGAGGAGGTTTTCCATAAAGGTGATACAGGTCATTAGGTCCATGATGGGAAGGTCCCTCTGTCTCTGTCATTGAGAGCCTGCATTCGTGGCTACACCCAATAGCAGATTAAAGTATTTCTTCAGGTAATCGTGAACATGCAGAGCTCATTTTACTTCTGGAAGGCTGTAGACTACCTCACTAGCGCATCTACTTAAATAATACAAAAAGGATTTAATATGGTTTATGTCTGCATTTACTGAACCTAAAAACAAAACCATGTTTTTTTTTTCTGTAGGAAATTAATCTACAATCATAGAATCTTATTCAATCTAATTTCACATGCAACAAAAATAGTCTGTCCATCCGTCCATCACGGCTTATGTGAGCCTGGAGCCCATCAGAGGAAGCTCAGGGCACAAGGCAGGGCAGCGTCCTGGATGGGATGCCACCACAGCAGGGTTCCCCGATTCCGGTCCCGGAGGGTCAGTCTGCACCACTGTCTGCAGATTTCTCTGCTCAAACACACTTTATTCGGCTAACCAGCTAATTGCCAGATTTAGCAGGTGTGTGACAGGACCAGCATCAGGGAACCCTGCAGTATAGCAACATAGGACAGTATTTACCCAAATGTTTCACACGCTTAACACAATCTTACAACTGCGCTATATAATTAATTTGCATGACTTAAGCTTCGCCTAAAGCTGACCAAATAGCATCAGATCCTGTCCCCCAGGAATGTCGGGCGTCTTGCCAGGTAACGCCCTTTAGCTTCTCCAGGTAGCCTCACACATACCGGGCCTCCAAGCTCTTTCAGCCATTTGTCAGCAACATGAAAATGTGTTTGTCTCCCCCAACAAAGTGTTCAAAGACAGAACACAGAAAAGAACCAGAAGTGCACTGAAAAATCTCAGCACAAAATTCAAGCTTTATAAGACCGAGAGATCAGGTAAACCTGACTTGATCACAACACAAGGCATTCATTTTTAAACTACTTTAACTTTAAGAAATATCGTGAAGACAAATGTTTCTTCACAGAGGTTTGAAGCAATTGCGCCTATGTTGGGACGCCTGTCCGCTAAAGGGCCCCCTGCAGTAATGCTAACGCGTTTCACTGCCCACCTGACCCACACAAAAGGCCTTCTGTTCCAAGCCCTGGCGAGCGAGTAAAGCTGCAAGACTCCTGCAGCATTCGAGTGATGTCATCGCAGAGCACCCCCCCAATGCCTCTGGCCACTCAACAGCCAACTGAGGCGGCGTGTCCGAAGCATGATGTGTTAGCTTAGAAATGCTTTGAAAGGCCACTTGCAGTCAGCCAGCCAGAGAATGGGGAAAAACTGTCAAAATATAACAAAGGTTGTAATTTGGAAATACAGCTGAACCCAGTTCTGCACTGAGTGAAGTCATTTTGCCCAATTTCAATGCAGAAAGAATGATTTTAGTAAAGCAATAAATCAACTGTGTGAATAAGAACTAGCCTTTCTGAGAAGTCAAGACCCTGATTGGGGTTTTAATCCAGGATGATGCAACTCATTCACAAAAAACAGTTCATAAACTCACATTTTAGGACAATAAGGAATATATAGGATATAACACTACATCCGTTAGCATGGACTGTCTCAAATACAGTGACCATATACCGTAAAGTCTTAATTCATAAAGAGGCCCTTGAAAATCACATGGATGTGTTTGTTCAACCAGGAGAGCAGCTTCTGGAAAATGTGCATGGCAGCTGGAGGAGATCGTTCAGAAGGCATGGTCCACTCCAAGGACACAAGGTCACCTGCTTGCCAAAGGAGCAGCGGTGGAGCTGCACGCAGGTAAGGGCCTGTCAGGCTGTTTCCTCTGCAAATGGTAAAAAGTGACCAATCAGTGACCAATCCCACTGAACCAATCAGTGGGAACAACAGTGGTCACCTGACAGACGGCTGTTTCTCACACACGCTTACACTGAGGCCAAGCCTGGTCAATGCACCTGGGCCTTGCAGAAACAACTGATGTTTGCCTGTCACTGGAAACCACGGCAGTGTTTGTCCCGTTCACCTGTGTTTTTGGGTATCCATGGATAGTTATCTTCACAGATAACAAACCACTCCTACTCAGCAGACAGCCTGCCGATGGCTTTTCGGAAGACAAACCCCTGGCATGCTCAAGCTCACGGACTACACCTCAGGAGACCTTCGGTGAGGTAAGGCATTGACCGACCTGTCCACCTGTTACATCCATCTTAACAGAATCAACGAGCAAAGTTGTTCTACTTCTGAACAGACAGTAATACAAATTCACCGGCAAAGTACTATGCTAACATGACACTGAGTCTCCATAAAAAGTTGCTCACACATTCAGTCTCTTCCTACGTGAATAGCTACTAGAGACCCTTACTCCAATTCTCAGCAGAACGCTGCTATGCTTATCCTCGCTTCCCCTCATGGGAGCGAGAGAGACGCGAAGAACCACGCCCCGTCTATACACGAGGCAGCGGAGTGTTCCGTGTCCTCAGCTCACAGCCCTGTCCCTGCCATGACAGCGAGTGCAGGCCGATCTGATTGGTCGAGCCCCACATTCCTGCATGCTGAAAGATTTGGCAGGGTGACATCACAACATGTCAGCCAAACCAACATCTGCAGAACTTCTGATATAGAAATGAATCTTGCGGGAAAGGCAGCCTGTATGGGTGACTAGTCTAGATCAATTTCCCTTATACTTTTAACTATGTTCCAAAAGTTATTTGGAGCTGTTGCTGCAGTGGCAGTTTGAGGATTAATTCGTTTCGATGTCTTAGCTATTGGCTCTGGTTCTGGCTGCTTGAGGAGGAGGGACAGTCGTTAAGGAGACAAAAAAAAAAAAAAAAAAAAAAAACTTGGTAATTCAGAGCAGACTACTCAAGGTCACCAAGAATTCAAATACCAGTTCACTCTGATAATATACCATAAAATCATGATAAGCTTTACAATCCCCCAAATCCTCTACACCAGTGTTTTTCAAAGCAGTCCTCTGGGACCCACAGACGGTCCATATTTTTGCTCTCTCCCAATTGCCTGGGAGTTGGGAGGGAACAAAAACAAGGACTGGATTGAGAAACACTGCTCTATAAATTCCACAAACATATCAATAAGCAAAATGTATTCCTTACCAATTATTCTCAGTATATATTGTATATATTGCATATGCTGCTTTCAGGTGAAAAGCTGCTCATTCAGCGGGTGGAACTAATTCTCCACTCCCACTTTATGCCACCCATCCCAAGCACTAGATTATCCTCAAAGTCACCATTCATCCTTTCATTATCTTGTCCTTTTTTGAATGCTTACTACAACAGCTGGTCTCTGTGCTGACGTCTGTCTTCAAGAAACCAAGTGTTGATGTGAATAGTCAGAATGGAGCACACTGGAAAGTGCCAGAAGAGCGTGCTGAGAACTCTTCTTCCTGCAAAAGGACTAGATCCAGTCCCACTGGTGAGACACTACACAGTGACCAGGGTAAAACAGCCATTTGTGTCCCTGTGAAGGTGGGCTTGCATGCATGACTACACCTGCTATGGTTCAGCAGATCAAGTCCTATTTATAAAGCTATGGTTTCGACTGCAGAACATCCAGATTATCTGTTGCTGTCAGATATCGAGTCCTACTGTGCTGAAGACTTTCATAGCCATATCGTGATGAGACCAGAGGTCTACTGCCTTCATAACCATGGCAATACTGGCTTCTACGGAAACAGGAAGTGTCTCTCTCAGCAGCTGGACCTTCCCAGAGGAATACAGCAGGTGAAGTACAAAATTCATTAGCCCCATCGCAGGTGTCACATGTGAGAAGAGTGGCTTTTCTTGAAGGGGCAGAAGGAAAACTTAAAACGGTAGTACAGAGTTTAAATATGTTAAAATTTCATATCTAGTTTAACCTATAGACCAGTGCTTCCTAATCCGGTCCTTGGGAACCCACAGCTGGTACGGATCAAAAATGTGGACCATCTGTATGTTCCAGAGGACCGAGTTGGGAAACACTGCTAGACCAAGCAATGCTTCTAACACGTGTATTTGATTTATAAGTTGACTGGATCGGACCTGTTCTTGAGACACCACATTCAGTATGTCGTACATGTCTGACTAAGGCTTCCTGTCCCAGCAGGACAGCCCCAGACCACTGCGCTCCCTAAGCTCAGCCCTCCTGCCCCACTGCAGCAGCAGCATGCAGGCCTATGTGATCTGCAGCATTGTCCTGATGAAGGGTCAGGGGAAGGTAAGAATGCTGTTTGGGGTGAAAAACAGTGCAGGAGATGCCACATGGGGGCCTTCACGTGCCATTGCTCTTCTGCTCCCAGGGACTGGGCTTCAGCATCGTAGGTGGAAGAGACAGTCGCAATGGACCAATGGGAATCTATGTTAAGACCATCTACGCTGGAGGAGCTGCAGCCTCCGACGGTCGGCTACAGGAAGGTGGGGAGTTTTTGCTCAGCTGCTTCCTTTCCTGATACCGTGTCACTTAATGATCCCTCACGCCATCTCTGTCACTTAGGAGACGAGATCCTGGAACTGAATGGAGAGTCCCTGCATGGCCTGACTCACGAAGGTGCCTTGAAGCAGTTCAAAGTAAGTTTACAAAGTCTCCTCTATGGCTTCAACTATGTTATGCCTAATTTGAATTAATTTGAATTAACGCATGTTCAGTGGGGACTGTTTCCAATTAATCTCAGGCATTCAAACAAGCAGCTAATGACTTAAAGACACCACTGTTTGTGATGGGAGAGGCAATATTTCAGAAACCAGTGATGGAATTATGATACACAGCAGTCATTGACTGGTATTTACTGAATCGTGGCCTTAAGCGGGAGCCAATAAGAAATGGTTTAGCTTTGTAAGTGATTAAAAGTGCATGACATGCAGCTCTGTAGGTTAGGAATCTATACCGGTGTCTTAAAGGTCGCTGGTTCAAATCCCATAGCTGGCAGAGTAATCACATCACAGTTGGCCCCTTAGGCAAGGCCCTTAACCACAAAAACTGCTCCAGGCTACCAGATAGAAGGCAGACACTGTGGTCTGACCACAGGTTTTGTTCTCGTTTGATTCTGTGTGACTCGTAAGAAAGTAAGATGCCAAAATCAACTGATCATGAGATTGCTTTGGCACTATGGTCATCACACTGTCAGGGGTGGGCTGTCAAGTTTGTCTCTTTATGTCTACAGCAAATAAAAAAGGGCCTGCTGACCCTTGTGGTACGGACCAGCCTGCGCCAGGGGGCGCTGCTGAGCCGAGCCCAGGCCTCCAAGCTGTGTCGCTCCCGTTCTCTCAGCTCTGGCACCAGCATTAGCAGGGGGAGTGTGGACCTGGGCGACTACGGGTTCTCTGCCGACCAAGCCAGCCCGACCAAGCCCAAGGACCGTGTCATGATCGAGATCACTCTGCAGAGAGGTCAGGCTGGGACGGGCCCCACGCATACAGAACATTGAGACATCCCGTCGTTTCATACCTTCATTTGCATCATTTGTGAGTTTCTCGCGAAGCTTTGTAGCATTAGCGGCATGCTTGAGACCCGTCTGTGTGTCTGCAGAGGCCGGAGTGGGCCTAGGCATCGGCCTTTGCTGCGTGCCTTCTCATGAGGGCTGCCCTGCCATCTACATCCACACCCTGTCCCCAGGCTCGGTGGCCCACATGGATGGCCGGCTCAGGTCAGGCCCTTATCACTGCTCCTGCAATACTGTCTGTTCAGCAGCTCTCTAAAACCATGGTCCTTCATCTGTTAGCTACACAGAAACAGCCATGTTCCCGTTATCTAGTTCCACCGCCCATATATTTGTTGCATGGCCAGCTACCAGCCCCTAGTTTCTTTAACGTCCCTACAAATTAATACATCTCAGATTTTCATAGCTTCATAGCTAATGAATCAACAAATATTGGGTAGATATCTCACTAAACACACAACTGCATAACCTCTCTGTCAATCATTAAACCTCTAGACCAGCGGCCTCCATCCTGTTTTACAGTTTGAGCCACTTTTACAAAGAAAATAATCTTGAGAAAGACGAGTCATGACGGTTCCCTAAGGGGGACTAGAAGTCGTGTTGCAATCGGCTGGAAATGTCTTGCCAATCGACCTGTCGATTACAATGGACTGGTTGGCAAGCATTGCTCTACTTAATATTTAAACTACTGTGTATCTCAGGTTTGGTGATGAGGTCACTGAGATCAACGATACCGTGGTCCACAACCTGACGCTGAATGAAGTCTACAGTGTCCTGAGTCAGTGCAACCCAGGACCTGTACAGATCATTATCAGTCGTCACCCGGACCCAAACGTATGTTCACATAGACCACTTGCTCGCAGCTCCTCACCCACTCAATGACTTTCTGTACAGTGGTAGTGAAGCCCTCTAACAGACTTAGATGCCTCGTCTGTCTCAAGGTCTCTGAGCAGCAGCTAAATGAGGCTATAACTCAAGCCATAGAGAGCAGCGAACTGAAGAAAGACAGCAGCCCATGGAGCATGGAAGGTAGGGATCACCCTGACGGCATGCCAGTGATCCGTCGGTCTCCTGATATAAGCAGATCCAATGTCAGTGTTCTCTGCCGCTCAGATGGGAAAACTGCTCAGGAGAAGCCAGGGTAAAATTTTACTTAAAGTTATCATCTATAATGCACTAGAAACCTTCATAATGCATTAGAATGGTCAATATAAGCATCAATACAGCATAACAGCATCTTCTATTGACAGTCATGAGTGCTGATTATAATCTCCAGTGAAGCTGTCAGCTATAATGTACTCATCTATAATGCAATACAGATACCTTCATGATGCATTATAATGGTTGGTATAGAAGTTAAGGATGCTTCGTACTGCATTATTAATAGGTATCTACAGTGCATTATAGATGAGCTTCATAAAACATTCAGAAAGCATTATAGACATGGCTATAATGTGTTATGCCATTTTATGCATATTTGTAGGCATGTTTATAATGCTTTATGAATGCATTACAATGTGTTATGAATGTGTTTATGGATTCTTATACACATGGCATTCATTGACAGCGCTACCAAAGCTTGCTATTGTGACATCCATTGCTAAAACCAAATACCAGCAGACGATTACTAAGAATTTCAATTACATATGAATTATCCTTAAGCTCTTTCAAACATATATTATAGGATTCCCAATACGCAGAAAGGTTAAGTTCGGTGTATTATTTGGAACTGAAGGTTATTAGCCGTGACTTGGTCTTTCAGATATACAGCAGAATAATTTGCAGGCATTCCTGTGTTTGGTAACAGGCCTGAGAAGGTTGGATTCGTCCTTCCAGAGGAAGCAGATGTGTGAGCGCTGCGAGGAGAGGACTTTCTGCCAGCTAAACTCACGGACCCAGCGGGTCATGACCCGCTCCAGCAGTGACAGCGCTTACAACCACTGCTTCCACAATGACAGCGTGCATGAGCATCATTCATACTGCACCCACAACAACCACCCCTGCACTGACAGCATGTCCAATGATAAGACATGTAGCGACAGCACCAGTGACCACTGCTGTGCCAGGGAGACTACCCAGTCTGCCTGTGACGGGACCTACAACCACTGCTGCAACAGCCACATCCTCAGCCAGCGTTCCTTCAGCGACAGCTCTTACAACCATGCCTACAGTGACATGAAGACCAACAGCCACCAAAGCTTTAAAAGCCACACTTACAGCCAGCAATCCTTCAAAGATGAATCCGGAAGCTATGAACCTTTTGGCGACAGCGGCTACAACCACATCAACGTCAACCGGGGAGCTGAAGGAGCCATAAACATCTGCAAACGTCAGCAACTCAGCACCCAAGCGCAGAGAGAGCCTGAACACAAGGCGCATGAAGCTGAGGGAGACTGTGCAGATGATGACTTTAATACTCGGCTCAGGCACAACAGACTAAAAGAGAAGCCTAGTGACAACTGTGTGAGTGAGACTGGAGAGTGCAGAGACATGGTTCCCGCTAAGGCAGGAAGCAGGCCTGCTACTCACTCTATCCAGCAGGTATGACGGCATGTAGACGCAGCGGCTCGGTGCTTTTCTTTTGTCATCCAATTCCGTTGCACATATGCAATGACAATAAAAATATTCAATCGATTCAATTAACTTCTGATCACAGTGCACGTGCCTTTAAGAGGTCCTGGGAATACTGGCCTGGATTTACATGAGGGTTCGTAGCTGCACCCGCTGAGATCCGCCTCTCTTTTTGTGTCCCAGGAAGCAGAAGGCAGGCATTCCTGCATGGCGCACATATGCCTTCCAACAGCACCTTCAAAGCAACTTTTAAACCAAGGGGACATTACACCAGGTATGGGCGTGAGAAATGAAATTCTTTAAATCTGAAATCTAACTGGAATCTGGATTATCTGCATTTCTTTCCATTTCATCTGAATCTAAATTTAAAGTAAATTTCATTCCTTTGATGGTCCTTCATCTGCAGCTCATTGCATTAAAAAAAAAAAAGGCTGAGCTATAGGCTGGACTGCTGAGAGTTTGCTTTAAAAACAAAAATAATGGAAAATCGTGACTCACATGTTTTCACATCTGGAGCATCATGAAGCTCGACTTTGTTTTCCGTTTCAGGCGCTGAAGCTCCCAGCCTCGTCTGCTGCCAGGACAGGAGGTCAGCCCTGACGAGGCAGGTTCGCGTAGCGCTGGTCCTGGAGCAGGACAATCTGTGTGACGGCCCTGATGGTCAGGGAGGCTCTGCTGGCTCGGGTGCAGAATGTGGGCATGCTTCCACTGAGGCCCCATGTTGTGCTCCTTTACCCTCTGACCCCAACCCGGCCGTGGGCATTCACTCCACCGCTGTCAACGCCCTCCACAAAATGCCTGAGGAGTTTCCTAATGGAAAGAAAGGCCCACCAGTGCCACCAAAGCCAGTCTGGATTCCTCAGAGCCCTTGGGGTAGTCAGAGCAGGAGGACGCAACGCTCTCCCCCAGATTTTGCCAAGAACGTTACATCATGCACACGAGATACATCAACAGCTCGAAATCTGTTTATAAGACAGAAAGGCCATGGTGTTACAGATCCAGCTGAGATTCCCAGGAGGGAGCTGCGGCCTTCCACATCACTACCACTAAAGGACAAACCCCCCCGGGCAGGCCACAGCACATGTAATAAGGCGAGCCTGAACCGGGTCCTCTCCTTCAGCCAGCAGGTGGCGCACTCCCTACTCAACTCACTGCAGGCTGGGCCGGTGGAGCCCAATGCGTGCTTCAGGCATCGCCACGCGCCCCCTACAGGGACTCCTTTGTCTAAGGCTGAAGTGACCCTCCAGATTAGCAACATACAGGGATTCTCTGTGAGGTAAGTAGCAGGAGAGAAGACTTCCCATACACAGTTCAGTATTGAGTAATTCAGTAGATTATTCACTGGTGACAGGCAAACTGCACTAATTTGTCAGCCCTAATAAACGATTGCAAGTCACTGAGATTCATTTTAATATATAACGCCCTTGTCCACTTCCGTGCCCTAGAGCGCTTGAATGATTTAGCAACAGCATTACTGTCACAAGTCTCTCGTATACTGGTACTGCAATAAAAAGTAAGGCTTTAAATAGAAGCGACAGCATTTGGCAGATCTAATAAAGAGCTGTAGCCAGTTGGCGTTTAGCAGTTACCATCCTAGGAGAGCTCGACCTTCCTCCAAAAACGGCAGATTTAGCAACAGATTTACATGGAATCCCTGCCTGGTTCCTCTAAAGCAAGCCCAGTGATGTGCTGTTGTCCAGCCTGGCAGACCTTAGGGATGAACTCGGCAGGGCAGGAGACCTCCAGGGAACTGGGCTACAGAATCCCAGCCGAGCCCAAAGTGCCATCTTAGCACTTCTGAGCCACGGGAGGGAGAGAATGACCCGAGAAGCCAAGCGTTCCCTAGACAGAGAAACCTGCAAGGTACTGTAACCCTGTGGCACCTCCGCAGCCCGTCGACTGCATGCTGTTTATCTCATGCACCTGCACCATCTAGGGCATCAATCATGTCCTACCACTGCTTTTCAAGGAATACTAACAGTTGTGGACAAGAAAATCTAAAAAGTAAGACATCCTGCCGAACAACTGGATACTGCAACACAAGCTTGGCCGGTGCTATTAAGAGCTTTCAAAAAAGGAGCCACAGCTGACTGACCCGAGCCCTGATCCCAGAACAGTGCACTGCTTATCTGCTGTTTGCTTACGTTCTGGTTGCTGCTGTGGTTGAGGGATATCTCCCCTCACTAAGGAGCTGAGCCCTTGGCTTGTGGCTGCAGTTCACATCTGTGGACCTCTCCCCCCAGCCCCACCCGATGCACCTGGCTTGCCTTGATTTATGTGTCACCCTGACAAATAGCACGTGATTAACCCCCAGAGGTGACAGTGAGACACACACCTGCCAAGCATTAGTGTAGACCTGATGGTGCAGACCCCGGCCCATCCATCAGACGTTATTTTTTAACAGAACTATTCCCCAAGTGCACTGTAGATGTGCACTGTAGATGCACTGTAGATGTGCACTGTAGATGCACTGTAGATGTGCACTGTAGATGCACTGTAGATGTGCACTGTAGATGCACTGTAGATTACTGGAGAAAAATAGAAACATCTTCACACACATTTGAACTGATGGCTGATTTTTATCCTGCAACACTTTCGGGGAGTGTGAGTGAAATACTGCCTTATTCTGCTCCCCCCCCCCTGCACAGCTGTTTGAAGACATTCACATTATTGTTCTACCCAAAGAGGATGGAACTGATCTGGGCCCAGCTAGGGGGACAAAGCACAAGAACAGAGCAACCGCTGTGAGTTAAACCGCATTAACGTCAACCAAACCGATGGTGCGTCACCACACACACCCTTACTGGATGCTCTTAGACAATAATCCAGATTGAACGGGACTTCCTGTTTATTATATATATATTACACACAATGTAAACTTGGATGGTACTACTGCCTTGCACCCGACATCCACCTCGTGGGTCTGCACGTTTGTACGCTCTCTGGTAACCAGTCCAAAAACATGGCTGTGAACTGGTGCCCCAAACACACACCTAACGTGTGTGTGTGTGTGTCCTGTGATTGACAGAGATGCCCTACTGTCTGCTCTGTGCTTCCTAGGTTAGGCTCCAAACTCACCACCACCCTCTGCTGAACAAGCGCTTACATGTAGGTGGATAGATAGACAAAGCAGATGTTTTTGTTGATTATTACAGAATAAGAAAAAAGAAATAATAACCCAGATCAAAATTGGTAGTTAAATATTATTTCAGGAACCTTTAAATATAAAACCATGGAATTGGACATGGAAATGAAGCTTTATATCCCATGGGCCACATTGTTCCTCTCTGGGAAGAGCAGGTGACCATAGAGAGGGGGGATGAGGTGCTGTCCATTAATGGCCAGTGGCTGAGAGGCTCAGCACATGGGGACCCCACCGCCAGCCTACAGGAGGTCAGGGAGTCTGCCCCAGCCGTCGTGGTCGTGGTGCGTAAGCAGCGGGCAGCAGGAGGAACGACCCGTGGCTCTGCTGACCTCACGGAGTGCCTCACCTCAGGTACAGAGAGATGTTCTTCACTCTAAACCCCTCAGTTATGATTTATGGGCTGCAAAGGGGATGCGGGGGGGGGGGGGGGGGGGGGGGGGCATAGTTCTGGAGGCCACCAGAGTCTAATTCTACTTCTGTTCCTGATATGCAGACTCTCCTGCCACAGATCTGGAGAACAGCAGAGGCAAAGGATCCCTGCATGGACAAGGGGGGAACAGGTCCTGTGAAGGTAAAGCTGCTTGTTTCTGATTATAGAACAAAGCTAAAGAGTGAGGAACATTGATACAAAAAAAACACCTGTTATGCTCTTACCTCTTCTCGAAAGGGTTTCACTACAATCGAGTACAGTAATTCTAGAACCAGGCCCCAAGCTGTCTGGTTGCTCCTCAGAGTGCGCATGAGATCACTATGTGTCTGAGGTTCTGTGACTGAGCAGGTGTTCTTACACGTGACACTTCAGAGCAGAACAGATCGAGATCGTCTCTGGACCTGAGCTGCTGAGGCTGCGGAACTCGGGCCGCACACATGAGACCAAATGGGCCTTGGAAACGCCACCGTTAAGATGAAGAATGTAACAGCTGCACGCGATGAGGAAGCCACCTCTGGATCGACAACACAGCCCGTGCTGTACAGAGCAGGAGAACCGTTACCATGGAAGTCGAGCCTGCATCCAACAGCAGACCAGAGGAACAGCTCAGGAACGTCAGTCATGAACTTAAGTGGGGATACCTGAGCTCGTCAGTAGAAAATAACAGCCGTCTGTTCTGGGTTTATGCTGTTTTCACAATGTACTGCAAAAAAATGCATTTAACCAAAGATAGTGAGAAAACAGTCAGAACAAATGCCTCAGTGAAACAAAGTTTAAGATGACTGTCAGGAAACGTACAGGTTTTTCCATACAGAGTGAAAGATGAGATGTATTGTGGGAAAAGGCAGCTTTCAAGTACCATGGAGCTCTACCACCTTGAAGTAATGTCACCATCGCACCCACCCGCGATCTCAGCGGCCATCCTCTGCACATCGATTCCCACGTAGCGTTATACAGGAGAAGGCCGGATATCAGTTATTTAAAAACCAAGTATGGTCTTTGTTTAGCATAAACAAAATGTGCAATTTTCCATATTTCACAAATGTTGTGTGAGGTATAAGCGCATGTTATTAAAAATCTGGGTTTGCGACTATATGTTTATTATCAACTGGAAAGGTTTTCACTGAAACACAAGGTAGGACATAGACCCCAATCATTTTAATAAGGATGCTGGTGGAATGTAGAACAAGTTGAATGTGTACAATGGCACAAAGTCCCATTTTCAGCATTTATCCTCCCTGCCAGTCAGTAGCATTCATTAAGGTGATCATTTCCAGAGCAGCACTTTGATTACATACACAGAAATCTACACCCTACACAATAAAATCAACACACCTGCATCACACAATAATAAATAGCCTAATTACATGACCCTCTGGGTTAGGAAGATCAGTGTTTTTCCAGACTACACAAGAGTGGACAGGAAAGGGACGACACTCAAGGACAAAGAGAAAAAATTAGATTTTCGACTTACACAGATAAAAAAAATTCAATACAGTACTTACTGAACCAGAAACATCCCCTGGAGGAAACAGACCATATTTGGTTGACTGATGTCCACATCATCAGTCTAAATAGGGCTGCTATATTGTGATGTAATATCATGCAGCCCTATAAAGAATAAAACTGTATACATTAAATTTGGAAAAGACACAAAAGAGTGTTCCATCATTAAAATAGATCTAGCATGTAAGAACTGGGTGCATGCATTACCATAACAGTAATGTTTACAGACAAAAGTAATCACACACAGAGTAAGCTGGCCACCATGAAGGTCCCTGATTTCCCCAACTCCATATGATGTAAAGGAGGTCTTCCCCCTCTGAACCAAAGCTGTATAGGTTAACTCACTGGATCAAGCAGGTTCAGCACACAAATTTGATAACCAAGCACATGCAATGCAAACATCATGACATCACACTTCATGAGCTATGAAATTCCCACATTCTAGTCACATAGGAAAGTACAACACACAAAAATAAAATCCCTTTTTAACACCTACACATCTGCAGTTCACTGATAAGCCCTTCTTAATATACATGTACTACACGCAAGACAGTAATAAACAGCTACAATTAAAGAAACAACAACAGTAGACAGGATGGTAGGTGTGTTAGAAATGCTGCAGACATGTTAGTGAAATGCCCGTGAATGTTAGAAAGTCAGAGGCCAAACTAATTACCTTCAGTCATTTAACCATCTCTACATATTTGCAGGTTTTAAAAGAGCTATCTTGAGCTACTGTAGAGGTGCTGCATGAGAATCTGGCAATGGGGGGCACAGCTAAACGAAAAGCTTTGATAACCGCTAATTCGCTAACTAATTCAATGACGATTAACCGATAAGCTGCTAAAAAAAAATTACCGGAAGCTAACAATAACCACTAACCGCTAACTTTTATTATTTGAATTTATTATCAGTTTGGTTTTTGGCTCTGAAGCCCTTAAAACATACTTAGATAGCTAAAAATTTAACCTGTTTAACACTTAAGTCCCACCTTTCAAACTAGAGTGATTACTAGGGGATATTTAGGACTTACTCAATTGGGTATCGTTAGATTCTATAGAGTCCCTGAAATAAATGTGCATTGAAGTTTTCTTTCTATGATATTCCGTTTGTGAAATATAAGCGTTTTTGTTGGCGAAGCCCTATTTCACAACTGGCTCATACTGACTTCTTGCCCTCAGTGAAGCCGCCTGGGGACTATAAAGATGGCACCTATAAAGATGGCACCCTGTACCCAGAAGGAGTGTCTCGGGTCTTTACTGAATTACAACTGTGTCAATCAGAGTCCGGAAAATACAGTCGGATTTCTGTATCAAGAAGCCGGACAACTTGCCAAATTTATGACAGTCTGAGCTAAATGTAAAGTGAACGACAATAAAGTCAATTTAAACTAGGGTACCTTAAATCTGACAAGTTATCCGGCTAAGCAGGAAAACCAGCTTCATGATACAGGCCCCCGTTCTCTGCTTAGTTCAGTATAACCCAGTTTAAATGGACGTGCCAGCAGCATGGAATGTGATATATATATAGTGCAGTATAACCCAGTTTAAATGGACGTGCCAGCAGCATGGAATGTGATATATATATATAATGCAGTATAACACTGTTGCAGAGACAGGAGCAAATATGTATGATTTTACGGTTTGCAAATGTTTTTGACTGTTAAACTTCATTCACTTTACCTGTGAAAAAAATGTTAGCGGATTTACAGTAAGGGCAACTAAATTTTGCGGAAGATAATTGGTCCACTAACGGTTTTCTAAGTTATCGGAAATGCTAATCAACTAACTAAAAAGTTAGCCTCGCTAATTAGTGGTTAGCAGATTAGCAGAAGCCTGCCCACCGCTGGAATCTGGGAATATGTTTTGTCGGCGACACAGCATCACTGATGAGGTTTTACAAAACTGTAACGGATATGAATGGTGGCACAACCCAGTAGAGAAGGAATGGACCACATCAGATTTCACTCACAGCCCCCGGAAAGGCAACCATCAAAAATCTTTCAGGGATTTAACAGCTTTGGTGAGGTTGCTGTAAAACTGAGCCATGCTGGAGGGGAAGAAGGAGTCGACGACTGAGCGGGGCAGGTAGCCCCCCAGGTCCGTCTGGAAGAAGCTCAGCAGCTGAGTCTTATTTGGCTCCCTGGGGACAAAAAAAGCAGATCCATGAAGCTACAGTGAGCAGAATCTAAAGACTCAAGCAGGCACTTTATCACACAGATTTTCAAAAGAAGAAAACATATATATTTTAATTAAAATTCCTTTTCAAGGCCTTTAACAGTTACCTGTAACATTATTATTACTGCCTTATTGTTATAACATTATTCTGTCCTTTCTGCATACAATGTATAGTTATCTACTGCCCTCTTGTGTCCACTATAGTAGATGCACAATGACATCTAGGTATTTCCATGTGAAATACAGTAGTATTTACAGAGTCTCTCCCATGACTTACCCAGGGACGGGAACACAGAAGCAGCCACAGGGGTGGTTAAACCCTCTAACAAACCCAGACTGCGGGGGACAATCGCAGTGATCTACATGGGTAGCTGCAGAACAGAACAGGTCACATGTACAAACACTGCTGGGAGAAAGCAGCAATAACACAGAAATTCACTGTTCATTGTTATGTGTACATATTACGAACCGTTGGACGTAATCCTGCCGTCTTCATAGCGCTTTACTAGAACCACATCCACAAAGTCTCGAGGTGCGATGATGCCCATGGCGGCCGAGGGGGTGACGGTACGACACACAGACACGGTCTGGGCGTAGGGGGCAAACACACCAGCATGTGGAAACAAAAACACCGTGTTCTATACAAAAGAATATCATTTTGTAGGCTTATAAATTAGCAATATCAAGTTTGTCTGGATAAAAGCTTCAGAAAGCAAATGAATATAAACATAACATACAACGCAGTGCAAAAGTTTTAAGCAATGAAAGAAAATTGTTTAAATAATCTTCATGTTGGTGTAGAACAGGTTACTCAATTATTTGTCCCCGAGGTCCAAATTCCATCCACGACACCAAGCCAAAGTCCACTGCCGTTTTCCGGAGTAGACTTTACTGGGGGATCCTTCCCACAACTCAATAACGGTTTGGTCTGGATTTGGAAAGGAATCTGCCATTTGATCATCCCTGGTGTAGAACTATGGTATTATGTATGTCAAAGTATGTTAGCTTGGCCATTTCAAAACCTCTGCTAGAATTCAGTGCATGCAGTACCCATCCAATATACCCATGTGCAGCATTCCACTACAAGTATACCATGTTGCTCTTCTAGCCATCCTAGGAGACACTGTGCAATTATTTTTATCGTGTCACCTGTTCATTTGCCTGTATTATAATGTTACATCGTGTTTTTGAGCAAATATACCCCGATAAATAGCAGTAAACATTTTATTTGGCTGCCTCAGACTTTTGCGTAGTACTGCATGTGTTACGATACTCTGGGAGCCCAGACTGCATGATCGCATACTCACGTCGTTCACCGTTTCAATCAGCTCAAACTTCTTGACGTTCTCGTCCCATTTCACTCGCAGCCCGTCCGGTAGCGGCTTTAAACAGTCCCACACCCTCTCGGGGCTCGCACTGATAACCCCATCGCCTTTGTATCTGGTGACATGAAATCAGAGACACTTTAAGGCAGCATAAAAAAACAGCACAGAAGAGAATAATCGTGTGTCCTCAACGAGGTTAACAACAGAATACACTTACGTAATCGAATAATACACTCATTTTTTTCCAACAGCTGACATCTATGAATTCCTTACAAACGACATTTAGTTCAGGTAAAGAATGATCTTTAATACATTACAGGGTGATGTCATTTTTAAGGCGAGGTCAAAATGGAAAATCATTAGGGACATTCGTGCGAAGAAATACTCACAAATTGCCGGGGAACTCGGCTGACGGGCGCCAGTAGACGGTAACCGCGTCCTGAGGATGAAGAAGCCGCACAAGCGCATGTCAGGGGGACCCTAATGTGACAGCACAGCAGGCAGAGAAATAACACCTGTTACACCCGGCGACATGCGGGTGGCGAAACGTCAGAGTGTCCCTTACTATTCGTGCGTGATAATTAAAATGTAGGAAAAGCTCACGTACATAGCCGACAGTGGACTTGAGATTTAAAGGCACTTAATGGCACCCGGTTCTTCTAACATTAGTATTGGCCTCACTATTATTATATCCCTAATCACTACTATAGCTCCCCAGATCGTTTCAGCTGCATGACTATTAAATCTTCCATTTTACAGGTGAATAAATCCTTAATTGCACGTTGTAAACCTACCGTTTTCTTGCAGGCTTTCCATCCCGACTCGTCCTTGGAGTACGCGACGAGGCTGTCGGCCACGGCATTTGCTATATGCTGGTAATCCATTTTAAAGCTAAACTCAATGTCCAGGGATTTTCTGAACCACTAGCGCGTCTTCTTTTATTATTATTTTTTAGCAATGATAAACGCTAATTAAATACAAATTAAATCACACACCAACGACTTATTCTGTCTTTGATTTGCGTGGAAGGCAAAACCTAAAAGGAAGCAGGGATGGTATTATTTCAGTAGCTCAGAATGACTGCAGACCCGACCTAATTCCTGTGTATAAGTCACCTGTGAGCTGGTGCAAATACGGATATTTTTCCCTACAAGTAAAGAAACACACCTCAGGTGTTTTGCGATAAACGGTCCCTAGATAGCTCAAAATGAGATTCAGTCACTGCAGTACAGAAATCATCAGTTAGGCACATATAGTGAATCTGTCAATAAAACAAAAATGTTTAAAATGACTGCATACATAGATAAATGTACAACTATTTTAAGATGTACTGTAACCGGCAACTCTTCCGCATTGTGGGCAGGCACATTTTTACGTTGTACTCCGGGAAATGTAGTTCATACAGACCTACATTTAAATACATTAGAGAACTGTACAAGACTACGTATCCCGTCATCCATCAGTACATTTCCAGTTATGAATTTTCTTAAGCTTTAGAAAGAGACGTGAGAGGGAAAAAAAAGCTTTTTAAAATTCATTGAACAGTGAAATTGTGCAGTTGCGTTTTGTAACTACAAGTTCTTGTCATGGAAAAGTATTTATTGGGTATACTACTAATCCGTATCTTAAAGCACTATATCTTTGAATCATTAATAAGAAACGGAAATGAACTATAAGTTTAGCCGAAATCATACTAACAAAATAGACAATTTTACTATGATGTAGTATAATGAGATTAATCAAATTAGAACTGGATTTGCATTTGCTTAAACCGGTGTTACTATTAGGCTTAGAAATAGCATTCCCCTTAAATTATATTGATTATATTGATTATATTATGTTGCAATCAGGTTCTGCTATTATTATAGTATTAGGCCTATGCGAAGGCTACAAAGGGAGCAGGATCAGCCCGTAACTGCCTTATCACTTGAGTATTATAATGAACGTTACTACGTTTTTTAATGTTTCAAGTTTTATTGTCACATACATTTGGGTAATATAATGAAATTCTTGTACCACCGTTGTGGCGGCGGGGGTTGCATGGGTGGGCGATAAAACGTTCATTAGTACCCCATGCAATATAAAAAATAGTGCAATATAAGAAAGACGTGATAATAAGCAATGTGATATGGGGATGAGGCAGCAATATGGGACGTGCAAATTATACTATAGTGTTGAGAAAGTACAGGTCGTGCATGAACAATTACGCTTTAGCGACCGTTTCAAACTGAGAATTAAATTCACATACTGTTTGGAGCTTTGCACTGCGCTTATTGTTGTCATACATCAGCATAGATACCAAGAGCTGTATACTGAGAAACGGGAAAGGATTAGGTTCTAAACATCACAGGATAATGAATCCAGACACACTAACCTTGTTCCTGTTTTACTTTAGGCAATGTGTAGCCGATACCTTTAAGATTCTGAAACACAGGATAAGGTGTTACTATCCTTTGTGCAAAGATGAGGTGTTACTATCCTTTGTGCAAGCACATACAATAGGTTCACTGTTACTTGTCGGTGGATGGTGAAAATTAGACTTAGAGAAGTTTGGTGTAGGTTGAAAAATTTTGGGATGCATCATCAGTAGTGCTCCTCTGGCTCATGGGGTGTTTCGGCCTTTCACACTATACACCCTCACCTGAGGTGGCCAGCTATAGGGTGATCAGCCCTAAGCTTGTGTCCCATGCCCAAATAGACAAGAGAGTCGCCTTGATGTCAGATGACGGACATCTCATGAAACTATATATGACAGCCTAAGCTTGTCACTTAGGAGCCCAGCAGGGGGCATTCCTCTTCAACCAGAGCCACTGGCTGCTTCTCTCTGCTGCCTCTGATGCAGCTTTGATGGCTGCACACTGGCTCTGGCCCCTGATTCCCAGGTCTCTCAGCAGTTTGACGGTAGATGTTGCTACAAACCCTCTGCATCCAACTGCCATTGGGCGAACTTCTATGGTCCAGCCGCGATGTTGTGCAATAACCTGTTATCTTTAACGATGTAAAAACAAAAATTCAAACTTGTGTCCTCTTTTCAGTGCCATAATGTTAATAAAAATAAAGCCAGATAAGTGAATTGGACTAAATCCAGGGTACACAGCTCCCTCCATGGGCTGAATGTGGTCATGAGCGATACAAGGGTCCATGGTATGAGAGCAAAGTCAAGGTGCGTCTGGTAATGCAGCTCATCACCCTGGTGAACTCGAGAATGAAGTCATTGGCTGCTGTCTTCAGGATGACATCACACATTTTTTTCCTGGCCACTGAAAGGGACACAAATAAGCAGGTGAGGCCAAATGAGAACTCAGGATAGGTAATGAAATATCTGGTTTATGTTCCCTTGATCTGTGCTGTTCTGCAGCCTTGTTGACAGTTCTGACATGCTAATGAGATGAGGCCCATTTACAGCCCAGTTCACCTGAAAGGGACACAGTGCTGCAGTGGCCTGTGTCTGACTGGGGGGGAAACAGTGAGACACATAAAGGGAACAAACATAAACAGGAGCATCACCCCGTAAAAATGGCTTTACCTGCATGAGCAAATACCAAACAGACCAAATTAAAATTCAGTTAATACTAATTATACAATCAAACCCAGAACAGATATCCTTTGTGCACATTATAAGCAAAGCAAAGACAAGACATGCTTGATCAGGAGTCACACAAGTGGTGAGCTTTGAAACTCATATAGGGTAGACAGACCATTCAGTGCGATTGGAGCAGGCCACAGATCAGCCGATGGCTGAACTCAGAACAATAAGGTAAACAAGGGAAGCGGATAAACCAATTGGTAACAGGCACATCAGTCCTTCCCGCTGGGGCTTTGCAGTTTCCATTTCTCATGTCACTTCTACCCATTTGCTCTTCCTAATCTGCTTTCTAGGCAGAGAGTCACGAAGGGCTGTCCTTCCGATGAGGTGACGCTGAGGAGGAGCTCTCCGGCTGCAGGCTTGGACCAAGCCGCACCAGCCCATAATTCCATTCCATGACCCGAAGCATAATTACTGCTGATATTATGCTGACTATTTAAAAGGCAGCTGCAGAGCACAGCACAGTGACTGGGCTGCCTACTTCCCCGGGAAGAGCCCACTGATCTGACCGTGACCCTGGAAAGCTGCTGGTGTGGAGCATTCTGACTGACAGGGCCGGCCAATGCCCACCCCCACTGGCCACGCCTCCCACCCTACTGACCACACCCCAGTCCCACTGGTCACGCCTCCCACCCTACTGGCCACACCCCACCCCACTGGCCACGCCCCCCACTCCCACTGACCACGCCTCCCACCCTACTGACCACACCCCACCCCCACTGGCCACGCCTTCCCACTCCCACTGGCCACGCCTCCCATCCTTCTGACCACACCCTATTTGTGCAAAGCATAATGCCGGCATCACAGAGGGTCCTAGTGCTTCTAGGGATGTGGACATAACCAGCTAATTTTACCTTGTGGGCAATGCGGCAGCATGGTGCTCATTATCTGAGACAAAGTGAAATCGATTGGCTAAGCTGGTACCCCCAGAGAAGCTGGCACCCCACATTGGGTAGCCGTTCTGTGCCGACACTTCAGAGGATGCGAGCAAACCTATGGGCATGAGCAAGTCAATTTCACTTTGTCTGACACACACAACTGAAGTCAGCTAAGTTAGTGCCCCTCAGGAGCTGAGACCCTGTGTCACCTAAGGGATGGACCGGCCCTGCTAATTGGGGATGTCCTGATTTTGCAGAGTTTAATGTGTCCCTCGGTCAAGAAGGGAGGGGCTTGCGTTTCACATCGTTAACCAATCACATTTTTCAGTGTATGACATCACCACTTTAATTAAAATCAGTGTTTTCTGTTAAAAGACAAGGTGCCAAAAAGGTACCCATTTTTCTGTGCATGCCTCATGCCTTATGTAATTACGAAACATAGGACCATGCTTACCTGCAAAGGCTACAGAGAACAACATAAGGGTACATTTTTATTTCATGATAATGATAATTATAATATATATATAATATATAATAAATGTATACTGATATAATATCAGGATGGTAATAATAATAGGCCTTGCTGAAAGGTCCACAGACATGTGATTATTCTGCTGAGGCTGGGGCTCAAACCAGCGACCTTCAGAGCACGAAGCTGAGACACACCACCCCAGGCCTGATAACTGAATGACTGGAAGTCTTGAGTTTGAAAATGACAAAAAGAACGGACCAATGTGGTGATGTCATGCAATGAAGACTGTGATTGGTTAAAGTAGTGAAACACAGGCCCCTACTTTGTTGACCCAGGGACATGTTGAACTTCACGATGAAATCAGGATGTCTGCCAACTGGGCAGATTCATCCAACCAATCAACTTGAGCATGGATATAGTGCCCTTCCTGGAGGGCAGAGGCATTGTGGAGTGGCTTTGGGCAGCCAAGCTACTCCTAGATGAACCCTGTGAAAGTTGCCTTTGTTCCAGCCATCAGTAATGTGGTTGTTCATGTGGACATGGCATAGCAGACCTACTTATAGGGAGCAGATCCACTATGAAATGTATGACAGGTAAGTAAGTTGGCTTGTGGTGGTTGAAAGATGGATGGGGGGAAATGAAATGTGAACAATCAGGTAAATATGTTGCCTTAAACTGATCTGTTGCTTATCTAACCCTAAAGCAGCAGGACTTACTAGAACAATTTGCTAAATTCAGCTCATACAGGCTCAACTGGTAATTCATATTTTATTGGTTCAGCAGTAATGATAAAAATTAGATTCCCAGATTATGACTGAAAATTCATTTCTAGGGCCAAAAGTTTTGTGTCACCTCTCTTATCAGTACAAAGAGCTTAGAAAAATGACTAAGGAATCATTAATAAATATAATAATTATAAAAATCTAAGGTCACTTCAGATTCTGAATTCACAAAAGCTTAAGCTTAAGTACGTAATTATTTTCTGATGGAACAAACCCGCTTACACAGTGGCCCCCCAGAAAGAGTGCGCAGCGCTGCTCTCATGCACACACATCACACAGTGAGCTTGCAGTCAGAATGAGGCCAGGCTTAAGTGTGTCACACGTACCACATTGCTGTGCTGCATCATTTGTCTTAGGGCCACAAATAGCCAGTTGCGTAGCTAAACCTGGACGGGTGCTGTTTTTTGATACTGGCTAATGTAACGTCCCCCTTTGTGTAACTTAACATTGTCACATCTGACGAGGGAGGTACGACCCAGCGGCAGCACTGGGTTGGACTGACAAGTGATTTATTGAAGTGGAATACAGCAATCTGAAAACAAAGGACCACGAGGGGTTAAAAGTGAAGAACAGGAAGGAATGATGAGACTGGACCTGGAGTGAGGGCAGACACTAACGCGGAACTAATAAACATGGGTGT